TTCTTTGAAAAAATTAATATTAAAATCCAACAATTTCAAAAAAAAAAGTACTAAACATTACGGAAGATTTCTAACATAGAGACAAAATAAGAATAAAGATGTTAATTGATTCTTATACAACTGCATGCTCACAAACTCTCTTTTCTACATCATACAGAGCCCTTTCGTCTCTCCTTTAATCTAATAACGATCTAATATTTCCCGAGTGCGCTCACATACATACATAGAACGGTGTGTCTCGAGAGCACTCTCTCGCTTCTCTGCTCTTCGCGACGCGAATACGCAGAACAAATATACCATTTGACACCCCTGGAAGACCATGCCCCGCTTGGTACAATGGCCTCGTAAAGTCCCACTTTGTCCCCGAGGATATAATAAAGTTCCCGCGAGCGCACGCGAAGGATCCTCCAGAAAGTCCTCGGGTGGTATTCCTTTGTTCGGTGCTTTGTGGTTACTCGACAGAGACGGGGTGGCAGCTTGTTAAGCGTTCGCGCCAACCCCCAACCACCCTTCTCCACCCCCTCCTGCCGTCTTGAACCCCTATCACTAGTCCTTTCGTCGTCACTTCCACCCCTCGCGGCTTCTCGTTACTTCACTTTGCGAAACGCTTCTCGATTTATCGCGGAATAAATAAGCGCTCCGACCCCGACGCGATTTACGCCCTGTAATTCGCGTTAAAACCGAAGTAACTGTCGCGAGATAGCGCGTTGTAATTCGTAGGAAAATAGAGCCCCGGCGAGCTCGAGGAGGATCTCAAACTCGGGTCGAAAAGATCATATATCTATTCCCGTTTCCCGAATTCGCACAGATTTGCGGATTTCTTCGCCGTTTTTACATTATTCAGAAAGATTTGACATCTCAAAAATACACGGTTGAGTAAGTTAATGATTTAAACTAAGTTAGGTTAAAATTATAATTGCTTTTATAAAATTAGTTTAGTTAAGTTAAAATTAAGTTGCATGAACAAAAAATTAACTCAATGAAAAGTTAATTTTTAAACACATTTATATTAAATTAGAATTTTGTTTGTTAATTCTTTTAAAATTCATAATAACAAAGAAATTTGATTTTTATATAGAAATATATTTTTTGGTAATTATACAATTGATGACAAATGAATATAAAAATTAATAATATTTTATTTTAAAAATAATACGTTTATAATTTAGAAAAAAACAATAATGATATTCAGAGATAAAAGAAATTTTAACTTGGGAAAAAAATCATAAGTTTAAGGTCAAAAATAACTAAAAATTAATATACATTTTAAATTTTCAAACAATAAGCTAAGTTATTAACTTTTTAACTTTTTTTAACTTTTAACTAATTAACTAGTTATTACCCAATCCTGCAAAAATATCTAAATTTCTCAAAAATCGATATGTAAGAAACAAATAAATTTCATGTAGACCAGTGTCTATTTTGCGCTACAAAGTTTTTAAAAAGCAAATACATTTAAATGAATTATATATGAGAATAGATGTCGTTAAAAGTAAATGGAGCGAATAATCTGTGAAAAATTTAACGTTTTACTTTTTTTTACAGTTCTTTGGAAACAGAAAAAGGATCATAAAATTGCTCAAAGCGACGATACAGCTTTACCACTGAAGTCCTAACTTTCGCAAATATTCCTGGAAGCTCGCGGATTATCTAACAAGTCGCCATTTACTTGGCAAACATTTCTTTCTGCAGTTTCAACTAGTGTTTCATAAACCAGCCGTTTTCATAATCCAATTCCAGACGGAAAAAAATCTACCAAAGATCGAGCTTTAAAAACTTTCCAACGTAAAATAGATTGTTAAATTTCGTTCAATTAAATTATCAGCTTCATAAATTTTATCGATATTTATTAATAAGTTTATTGTTGCTTTGAAATCAATGTAACTTCTCTAATTCGATAAAATTTTATAAAAATAATTATGACAAGATTATACTTTTAAAATTTCCTAGCTAGTAATTACTCTTCAAATTATAGGCAAAAATTTGATCTTGATTATTATAAATTCCGAGTTTCAATTTTTTCATATTTCGCAAATAATCTTACTAAATTCTGATTGATATTATTACTCCAAAACTTTTGCATTTTGCATCCTACAACCTTTTCTTTTCTTTCTTTCATCATCTCTCACTACAAAATAACGGGGAAAAAAATATTTTCCGTCGCGGAAAAATGTCCAGAAGATAAATTACGAATTTTCCCAGGAAAACTTGGCGTGAGTTTGATTTCGTTCTTGCCCGGCGTGTTATTTCGCGATATATATCCGTAATGTAATGCGCGTCTTATTTCCGCGTTAGACGAGCTCTCTTAATGTAAACGCTTCGCTTCGAGAAAGGAGAATCGCGAGCGCGAAATAAAGATTTCGCGCGAACAAACGAACGAGCGAAAGGACGGAATGCGGATTTCGCGAATCGTGAACGCGACAGAGAAAGAAAGAGAGAGAAAAGTATTCGCGTTTTTTTTTTCTTCTTCCGTTTACGCGCGCGGAGATTTACAAGTCACGTACCGGACGTCGTAAGCTTTATAAATCTTTAATGCGCCGTCTTTCAGCGCGCGCCGCCGGGAAATATTGCACGAGCGATGAGAAAAGTGCGGGTCAGACACGAAGAATAGCTCGAATGGCTATAGAAATATTATAACCTCGACTCCGCAGATACAAGGGTCTGAATTGTAGTTGTGACAAGGACAACGCAGTCCAACAATAAGGGGCAAAAAATTGGAAACTAATGGAAACCAATTTAGACTTGACTAGCGGGCACTTTTCAAAGAACTCGAATAATCGATACCCTTCAAATGCGTATAAGAGGATTGGTAAAGTTTCAATAAAAAGCTAAAAAGGCGCCACTAATACACAGAGAAAATTTTCTCTTAGAATTTACCCTGAAAATTATAGTAATTATGAAACAATATGGTATTGGAAAAATTTTATAAGAATTTCACTGATTAAATATTAATATCTACCACAACAAAATATAAAATATGTTCATAGTAAAATCTACTATACATATTAATATTTTTATTGTGGTAAATATTAATCAGAGGTACTCGTAAAACTTCTTCAAATGGGTATATAAAAGGATTAGTAAAGTTTCAAAAAAAGCTAAAGACGTTACTAATATACAGAGAAAATTTTCTCTTAGAATTTACCCTGAAAATTATAGTAATTATGGGACAATATAATATTGGGAGAATTTTATAAGCATTTCACTGATTAAATATTAATATCTACCACAACAAAATATAAAATATGTTCATAGTAAAATCTACTATACATATTAATATTTTTATTGTGGTAAATATTAATCAGAGGTACTCGTAAAACTTCTTCAAATGGGTATATAAAAGGATTAGTAAAGTTTCAAAAAAAGCTAAAGGCGTTACATTAATGTAAAAACAGGTTGCGAGAGAAAATAAGAGAAAAAAATGCCAGTCGCCCATGTCGACGATTTATTTTAAAATCGACCTATACAAGGTCTCGGTTGTGCGAACGGGTTATCGATATGTGTCGCATACAACGATAACAGAAGATGTAAGCAGGTGCTCTTCGGCCATAAAGCGAATACTTTGCGCTAAAAGCAAAATGTCATTCGCATAATGCGAAATGCTTTCCGCTGGCAGCCTTTGTGCCGAAAGCAGCACTCGATTCGTTTTTCACATTCGCATTTATCACCTATCGGATCGTATGCGGATAAAGAGGGAGCAAAATGCTTTCGGCAAGGTGGAGAATGAGCAAAAGCATTTGCTCACCAAGAGAGAAACGCGAAGGAAAAGAATATTACGAATCCTATATATATTAGTATGGCAGGGATTTTCTCTGAGCCCGCGAAAGTCTTTTCTATTATTTTGCTAAATTATTGGAGACATTTCTGTAAATATTAGATTAAAAGATGTGTGAGAATAATTGTGAAATTTGGAATGAGATTAAAACTGTCAAAAAAGAATTAGAACAGAAAGTAATTTATGCATATACTGCATCTCTCTTTTTATCTAAATATATCAAGTTTATTTAATTTATCAAATAAATTTTATTTATAATTCAATAAAGAAATAATGTCCAAAATATTTAAAAATTGTCTAAGTCAATAGTAACTAATATTTTTAAATGTCTCATCAATAATTTACATCTCACAAAAATTAAATATATCTCGTACACTGTTTGAATAAAAATTCAAATACGTATTCAGTAGAAGATATAAATAACAATCTTTTTGGAATAATCTATATAAATAAAAATTGAATAAAACTATATTTTATTATTAAAAGACATTTAAAAATGCAACAGTAATAAATTAAAAATATATTTCATTGAATTACAGGTTTAAGCCATATATTCTAATTAATTAAACTTCATGATAAAATATTTGTCATCTTTACATCTTTATAAAAATAAATTCAAAAAAGTTTATAATTAGGTATACTATCTCAATGTATATATTGAAAAAGTTTCATTATTACTTTGCGATATTTGAATGATTATTTCGTCGTGTTATTTTACGTGTCTGAATTTTTGTTCTACAAATTTAGACCATATATTCTACTTAATTAAATTTCATGATAAAATATTTGTCATCTTTACATCTTTAATTACATAAAAATAAATTCAAAAAATTTATTTATAATTAGGTATACTATCTCAATGTATATTGAAAAAGTTTCATTATTACTTTGCGATATTTGAATGATTATTTCGTCGTGTTATTTTACGTGTCTGAATTTTTGTTCTACAAATTTAGACCATATATTCTACTTAATTAAATTTCATGATAAAATATTTGTCATCTTTACATCTTTAATTACATAAAAATAAATTCAAAAAATTTATTTATAATTAGGTATACTATCTCAATCTTTACATCTTTAATTACATAAAAATAAATTCAAAAAATCTGTTTATATTACTTTACGATATTTGAATGATTATTTCGTCGTGTATTTTACGCGTCTGAATTTTTGCTCTACAGTGTACGAGAGAGAGAAAAAAAAAGGATGCGGCTGGACTCACCATTCGATGCTCCGGTATCCTCTGAGGCAGCAGTGAAGAGCCTTGAATGCACCCACGTTGGCGTACTCCGTGGTGACGACCTCCTTCGTGAACCTCAGGCCACCCGGTAGATTGTCGAACTTGTGTATCGAGCAATAATCCTTAAGCTCGTTGCCGCGACAAATCACCGCCAGGATCGAGATGAGGAAAGTCGTCGGTATCTCCATCTTCGTCGTTACTTCTCTTCTCTCGCGCACAAAAACACACTCGAATTAACCTAACCAACACACTCCGGCACTCGCGATATCGCGACACTCGACTCGTATCTTTATTAACGATAGACGAGAACTCTCTCTCTCAAGATTCACCTCGCGCGAATAAAAAATCGACGGAATTCAGCACTATTTTCTCATTCCGAGAATTCGCGCGCCATCGCACCGTCGAAACAACATTTCACGGTAAACGCTTGGAAAGTTGGCGACAATCCGAGTCGTCGGAAACTCTCTCAGTCCGCGTCATGCGACTTACACGTCTGTAAACACACAAGTTGTAATCACGCGAGTCATAAACACACCGAAGTCTCGCGCGCACTGAAATTCGCGAATTAATTTGTTTCTCCGCGAGAAACTCGTCGTCGAGGCTAAAAGCACGAACGGCGTGAAGTTGGCGGCGCGTATCTCTCAATCACTCCCGGCAATCGAAAGTCTCGAAACTCGAACTCGCGTCGATGTCAAGCACTCGCGAGAATGAAATCAAGTTGGCAGCAATTTCTGCGAAACCGCGATGCTCTTCTCGGGCGATTCAAATCCCGCGCGATGCACAATAAGATTCAAGATTCGCGGAAGCGCGCCATATCGTTGGCGGCAAACAATGCCCCGTCATCGAATCGCTCTCGGGGCTTCTCCTCGGCGACGAGAGACAGATAGAGAAAGCACATATATATGTATATCCCCGTGGCGCTTGTGTTTATCGTCAAACACGGAGCGCTTTGCCGAACGCGTTTACCTGGGAACGTTAAACACTCGAAACGTCAGCAAGCTTCGCTTGTTCTCCCTGCTGTTCTCCGTCCGTCCTCTTCTCTTTGTCTCTTGTCTTCCCTTCGCACTGTCTGTTCGTCTTCTTGCCGGTCTCGAGACGAGGTTAATATTTGCGCGGAGACGGCTTACAACCGCTTTGCGACTTCGCCGCGAATACGCGATATATCGTTTGCCGAAAGGTCCGAGGAACGGTTTCGAAGGGACCAAGTTACCGCGAGGGACCCACGTGACGCGCACCGCGAGCTCCGACGACCGACTGAATCGCGAGACGCGACGCGACACGACGCGCCTTCTCCCACCTATCCGAGCGCCCCCCACCACCGACGCTCGGAACGAGCCGCCTGTTGCCTCGCGCCGCTTCGACCGACTTCGTCACTGCTCGGTCGCGCTGCCGGCCGGTCGGGTCGGTCGGTCGGACGCTCCGTTCCGGCGTGTTTATACTCGAGCGGAGAGAGAGACAAACACGAGCGAGAGTTTGTATTATAAATACGCAAATGCTCGAACGATTGCTCGGAGATTAAATTCCAATACGGAGATTAAATTCCAACGTTACGAGATAATTTATTTAGAACTGTTTTCGTGAAAAAATCAAACCCGAGATGTTTGTATATCGTATATTTGTCTATATATCGCGTGCTCCAATTTTATATTCTTATCTTTCCGCGAATTTATTTATCGTGCTCCAAATTGTTCTATTCTGAGTTCTTTTCGTTTCCTACTTCTTCAAATTGTAAATCTACAAACACAAACCATATGTAAAATGTAATTATATATTGTGGGTTAAAATATATATGTATGTGTAATTTCGTAATTTTCGCAGTACTTCGAAATACAAATTAAAAACAAATTATATAGTAAATTGATATTTTCCTGATATTTTTAGGAACGAAAACTATCTGTCAAACTTTAAAGACAGAGAAAGAGAGAAATTTGCAGATTTTAAAATATTAATTAATAAATATTGTATCTTGCTTACAACATACATTTAAATTAAGAGTTAAACTGTAATATAAAAAATATAATATTTAAAATTAAAGAGCTGCAGTTGATATATGTGTTACAAGTTAAAAGAGATTTGAAAGTAATTTATAATTAATAGAATGAATAGAATAAAAAGGTAATGAAAGATATAAGTATTAATGAAAATGTAAATTGACTTAAAATCACGATGAAATTATATTATATTAAAAACAAATTTTCCATAATAATGCAAAAATACAAATATGAAATATACTTTGACGCTTGAAATTTGATGAATATTTTACTGTTATCTTTTATCAGTCAGATATAAATAAACGTGGAAAAATATTTAACGAAAATTGTTGACAATATTATGAAATATACCTACTATTGTATATACTCACTCAATACTATTATATATATACTCACAAATATTTACATCTACACAAGAGGATAAAACGTTGTATATTGAAAATATTCTGTTTCTGTATTTTTGTGGCTCGTTGAAATACTTGCAATATTAACTGTTTGTAATCATGTATAAATTTTTTTGAGAAGCGATATCATATAGGGTGTTTTTCACCATGTTTTCATTATGTTCTCATTAGCTGGAAGAGAATAATCGTGACGATATATTTAAATCTTAACAAATTTTCTATGACAAATTATTAATAAAATTATTTAATACGCAGTTGATACTGCGATTATAAAATAATAAAAATAAATATACGTACACAAAAATATGTAAAATAAATATAATACTTTTTAGAAAGCGTATACGATAATTAATATTTTAATATCGAAATATACTCTCACTACCCAAGTAGCAATAAAATGTATAAAATCAAAACTCATTTTCAAAGATATTTTTAATAAAGTATTAACAAAATAAATATTTAATAAACGCCAAGTAAATATTTATATTGCATTATAACATTAAAATAAACGTTTTTTAATGAATAATAAAAAGGGATTTAATAAATTACTTAAACTTTTTAATAATTTTTTAAATGTCTTTAAAAATGAGTTTTTAATGAGATTTAAATGTTTTATTTTTTATATATTTTTTCTACTTACAATTAGATATCCTATACATATATTATAAATATATTTTTAGGATTTAAAATTTCTCACTTTCTCTCTTGTAAGAAATTTTCTCGCAACACAAACATTTAAAGGAAAGTCGCAGTAAACATAGGAAATAAAAAATATAATTTAAATATAATTGGAAAATCTATCTAACAACATTATATAATTTCGTGGTCTAACTTTTCCTTTAGATAATCTCCCTGATATTTCCTCGGAGGAACAATCTCTATCCAGTTATCTCAGAAATACGTAACATTACATAAGTCAATATAAGTAATGTTACATTAAAGTCGCGGACTTTCCGAGACTACCTAATATAAAAAGATGTAGTATACCGTGCGGATGAGATGCTGGGATAAACTCTGGCAAGGAAACTGATGCGTCATCGGGCTTGAACGGATCTCTCGATCCTCCCTCCTGCTGTTCGTCGAAATCTCCTTCGAAGCGATTAGACAGTCTGGTGCAAATGCAAAGTGTTGCGCACCGCACCAAGTCGTCGTCGAGCTTGCATTCCAGGAAGCCTCATCGTCACTCGCCTTCTACGTCTCTCATATTGTTACGATGAAGCGAAAATCGCAACGACGTGTCGCACATTTTCGAGTCCTGTATTCAAATATGTTCAAATATGTCAATTTTTTTGTTTTTAGCTCTTTAAAAATCTCTTCTATATCCGTATCAGAATCAAAGTTTATCTGTGTCAGAACGAAATTTTATCAAGTCCATTTTTATCACACTTGTTTATACACTTTTGTTTACCGCATGTATTATGTATCTGACAATGGAGACTTATTAATACACTTGGCTCTGAAAAAAAGACACAGATATGTTTTGCTTCCAACTTTTCCGGTTTAAATTATAGTTTTATTCAGACTAATGGTAATAAAAATACTTATTAGACAATATTTATACAGAAAGCATAGAAAATATTTGTAGAGAATAAAAATAAAATTGTGGTAGAATTTTTTTTCGATACGTTTTACATTAAAAAAAAATTGTATCTACTGACTTTGTGATTTCAATTCACTTTATTTACATTTACGTATATAAATATCTACTCCATTTTTTCAATCTTTTCAGTTTTTAAATAACTTTTTTTAATTCTTTTCTATCAAGTAAAATAACAACTATTATTACAACGCTAAATTTAGATTCTCATAATCATAATAAATTCAATCAGCTGTTTCATAAAAAGTTATCGATATCATATATAAATTAAATTCCCTATATAAATAAGCATGATTAACGAGCTCATAAATAAATTTTGCACGTGCGACGCCTGATAATGACGTAGCGAGGGTATTTAGTATTCATACGAAGAAGGTGACTCATAATCCTGTCTACCTACCGCGCTATAATATAACGGGTGAGAATAAAGTTGCACGTCAAAGGACAAAACAAGACACGACCGACCAGAAAAAGGTCTACTCGATTTGTCTCTTCACGGTTATTAATTAAATAATTAATCTCAGAACGAAAGCCGGATCTTATCGAGATAATGTAGACACGTCAATCATGTCATGTCGTGTCAATCACAAATTCTTCGATAAGCTGTCAATTTACTGAATATAATCAGTACAAGATAATTATTACGACATTTTCCTCATATGACAGGTCATAATTTTTTTACGGATAATATAAATGTATAATGTAACGAGTTTGTAATTCAAATGATTGTAATCTTTCGTTGGAAGAGAAACAGATAGCTTTCCAAGAAGTGGATATACTCGCTTGTTTATCAAATGTATATATGTATATTCTGTGTTTGCGCGTTACTTTTTTAAATCACCTTATGATAACTCCGCCTGACTTTCATCATGTTTTTTTAATTTACTTTTTGGCTGGTAGAGTTTATTGTTATATATCAATTTAGTGAATAAATTACACTAAATCAAATTAATTAAACTAATTAAAACGTCTGTGTACGCATTTATAATAATTCGTCTCAACTACATTGTTTCGCCATCTATTAACAGGTAAGTTAATTAAATCCTAAAATAATCGGTAAAACAGTGTTTATATATAGAAATATAATGGAAAAATTATAATAAAATAATAGAATATTTATTTTTTCAATAAGTATTTCAAGTTATTTAACTTTAATTTGTTAAAGTTAAATAACTTTCATTTTGTGCAAATTATTTAACTTACATGCACTTGCCTAATCTAAAAAGAATTCTTGCATATATATATTATCTTACAGATAATAATTTATTGCATAATTCAACGACTTTTTACATCAATCAATTCTTCTATTTCCGAGATTACTATACAAAGTTCTTTCATTCTTTTACACGTTGCTAACAAGTACCAATAATCTAGTCACCTTTGTATCACTTGGTTTCTTTCATTGCTCGCGAGGTCAATCCAAGATTGTCGAGCAACGCTTGCGGACTCGGATCCCTGCCTCTGAACTTTCTGAACACTTCCGCGGCAGGATAACTGCCGCCTAAGGACAAAAATGTGTCGCGGAATCTCGCGCCCATCTCCTTTTGCCGCGACTTGTCATTAATTTCGATTTCTTGGAATGCCGTGTACAAATCGGCAGCTATCATTTCAGACCAGATCTTGCTGCAATTGACATTATAACATACTCATTAAGTGTAATAATTTAATCGCAATATAGACATAGCTTCTTCTCGTCATTATTTTAATAATAAAACAATTCTAACTAAAGAGATAACGAGAGATTCGAGATAACGATTGTATTAATGACATAAATTATACGAGATGATACCTGAAATATGCGGCCGCCCAGTTGCCGCTCCATATAGCTTCGAAAGAACAAACGTGAACATCCCTTTTCTCGAGGGGTAATGCAAAATACATAGGCCACAGACGTTTCATCATTGGCACCCAAAATGTTTCGCTGTGTATTTTTTGACAAGTAAAAATGACATAATACGAGAAAATATATATAAAACAATACTGTTTCAGAATATAGAATCGGGAGGGAGTAAATATTTCATTTTCATTTTATGAACATTGTGTGTATGTAATAAGAGATAAATATTCAATTAATGCAGTTACATTTCTCTTAAACATCTTGGAACTTACTTAAGGATTGAGATTCTTTACAAGTCAATTTGATGCTTACCTGGAATGCAGTTCTAGATCCATGTGTGACAAATAAAGTTCTTTACATAGTTTGTAGCCAGCAAAGTGTGATCTCATCTTTTTAATTCCCTCGATAGCTTTAGTGGGCAATGGCTGTTTTGTTTCATAATGTTCAGAAATCTTTTGTAACACAAATGGTTCGTACAACCTGTCAATCAAACGATAAAAGAACAAAATATGAATTATTATTACTCCTCATTATACGTTAGCTTATCAATTAAATATTTACAATGTATTAACAATTAATTATAACACAAATGCACTAAGAATGCATTAAATGCAAGGAAAGCTATTATACAAACGGAATAAATAAAAAAATAATAACTTTATCTCGTACCAGTTCTCCATAAAAAAGTCACAAATGAACACTGCATCCCATTCCACAAATGACAATCCAGCGATGTCCGAATACTCGACTGTGGTTAGTAAATGTTGTAAGGCATGTCCAAACTGTAATATGCAAGAATTTAAAAAGAAAAGTTTAAGTGGTTTATTATTATATAAAAGTATAATTATAATATTTTATTTTATGAAATATATATATTTTTTAATCGCGATTTCATAAAACATAAGAGATTGCTACCTTCTGGAAGAGAACCTGCACGTCCTTGAAGGAGAGCAGAGAAGGTTTGTCGCCTACTGGTGGTGGAAAATTGAAGATTAAAGCGATTAACGGAGTGCTATCGCCAACTTTGCTTTTGCTTTTAATCGTTGACATCCATCCCGAATCCTGTTCCTTGCGAAATTTCTCTGTGCCCCTCGCATAAGGATCCAGGTAAAAGTTTGCAACAGGCGCCGTGCTAGATCCATTCAAGTCAAACACGTCGAAAAATCGAACATCCTTGTGCCAAATGTCTGCTTTCTTACTCTCCACGATTTTTATGTTAAACAGCATTTCAATATGCTCAAAAAGACCTGCCAGAACGGTCGGCAATGGAAAGTACGAGCTCCATTCCATCTCATCGTAGCTAAAAGAGTAGAATCAAGGTAAAATATCCATTAATTAAAATACGATTAATCGAAAATATTTTTTTAACAATATTTAATTCAATTATAAGGAATTGATTGAAAAAGAAGATCTTTAATAATACTTAAATTCTATAATGTAAAAGAACTCAAACTTTTCATATTATTTTTCAAATAATTATCTTCTTGAATAAAAATATTATACATGTAATATTAAATAAATAAAATATTTTTTAATATGTAAATATGCAACTTTTAGTATACTGTATCCAAAATGTTACTTATGTTGATATTAATTTACTTACTTGAATATGCTACGACATTGTTTTCTACTCCAGTATGCGACATCCCACACTCTAAGAGTACTATCAAAACCTCTTTCATTTGCAAATTCTGTTAAACTTGCAATTTCTTGCTGCTGAACAGGAAATGCTTCACAAAAATATTAAGTTATTAATCAATTATATGTGTACAATATTATTACATAGATTTATATAATTATTATAGATTTATTATATAGACAATGTAATAGATCTATTATTATTATATTTATAATCTCTAAGTATTAATAAAAGTATATTTTATTAATAAATCTATATGTTAATATTTTTTAATAAGAGACAAATCAGTTCCAATTGCAATTATCAATTATTTTGGTATTTTTATTTATGATAAATTAATTGATTATTATACCAGTAGTTCGAAGAGTTTCCAGTGTGCTGTGCAAATTTTCCAAATTTTCGGCCATCTTTGTCTCCATACTCATTTCTGCAAAATTTTTATACCCTAAACGTTGCGCCTGCTCGATTCTCCTGCCTCTGAGTTCCTCCAATGTCACGCTCGCTTGAACGGATCTTTCCTGATATATAGAGCACCGAATGACATCAGCTTCCCAGACTGCTGCTCTTAATTCGCGATCTGGACAATGTTCTAATGGAAACATAAATCAGATGGTTAAAATTTCAGAAGACTAAGATTTAATTAATTTATTCATCAAAATAAGAATGATGTGTACCCATAAACGGTTCCAAGATATATGGCTTTAAAGTGATTTTCCAAGGACCTAAGAAAGGTCGCTTAGGATCGGCTGCGATAGATCTAAGAAAGTCCTCTGGAAAGTCTCTCACAATATCTTTGTTTTGTATTGTCATACTGTAAGCACCTGTAGAACTCTGAAAAAGTCGATTAAATTTCAATTTATTGTTATTTCTGATTTATATAAGCTGTAAATATTTATTAACTAGAAATGCATACAATGAAATAAAAAAATATATAAATGTACGAAATGCAGATAAACATAATTTTATTTTTTTTAACATAAAATGAAAAATTCTTAATATTTTGTATAAATTTGCATTAGCTCTATTTTATATATTAATTATTATATGTATATTTCAAATCATATAACAAACCTCATATTTGGCTTTATATTCTTTAATTTTCGATATGATATAAGTCAAATCACCCGAGTATTTCTCAAATTCTTTATCTTGCAGTTGCAGACCATTCAATGTTCCCTCCAATATATATTTGGTCAATACTCTCCTCTGTGAGTGTGTTAATTTGATATTTTTATTATCGAAGGCTTCCTTGCACGCTTTAAAAAGTGGCGCACTGCCAAATTTGCTAGCCACAGCTCTTGTAGCACGTTCGTGAATACCCATATAGCATTTTGTTGGCATCAAACTCTGATTGCCAAAATATAAAGTTTTTGCTATGCCCCAGGTTGTTTCTAGAGGAAGATATGAATCTTCGATTGGATCTAACCAATCCTTAAATATATCCAAGTCTTCGTTTGCTGCAAGAAATTATGAAAATTGGTGATTAAAATCACAATTACGTGTAATATTATGTTTCTTTTATTCAATTTATTTTACAATATCGTCTTTTTGCTATTTATTCAAAATGTTGCATTATTATTTTATTAATTATTAATGCAATAATGCTTCTTTTCTTGATAATATATTAAATATATATTGCATTATTATTTTATTAATTATTAATGCAATAATGTTTCTTTTCTTGATAATATATTAAATATATCGTACACATATAAGATGTATAATAAACTTCCAATGTTTTCTAATTATTGACTTATATTATTAACTTTATTAAATATAATTAAAAATATTTTAGTAATTTTGACACCTACTTGCAACATTTTCCAGACTTTTCATCTTTTCTTCAAACTCGACAGTTTGTTTTCCAATCGCTGCAGTGCATTTTTCAATTGTAATTGTGTTAAATTCTGGTAAATTGTCATCCTTCAATAATGGATTTTTCTCTGATGATTCTTCGCCTATCTCTGGAAGTCTTGACACATAAAAGATACAAAATAAATAAGAAAAATAAAAATTTTAAAATATGCATATAAAAATATAAAAACAAAAATATAGAAATAATTTTTAAGAAAAATGCGAAGTTTATTTAAACTTAATTACTGCGTAATAACGAGACAAACTTACAGGACTATGTATCCGTGTCGTTTCGGAATTTTTAACAAATTTCGCTGCCTCGAAGCAATCCTTCCGCAAAAAGACACTGCCATCCTTTTATATTTTGTAAAAATATCCTTTTTTTCCCTAATAATACATTAAAAATTCATCGTAATGCGATTGAAAAAAGATAAGTTTCAAGTTTTAGGTTATACAAAAGCCGCTGTCGTACGCATGTGTGCTCTATAAATTGATTCAAGTCGATTATAATCGATACAATCGATAGAATCGATAAATTAAAAATCGACCTTTGAAAATCGATCTTTGCGTTATTGCGCGATGTTGAGTTTTCAGGTTAGGCATCGATCGAGGGAGCCGCTCAGCTGCAACAAGGATGTGAGGGCGAGGAGGTTGTTATGATTTCGTCTTGGATCGTCCCTGCACTGACTCGCGAGAGTTAGGACTCGTTCCTTCGTTTTCTCGTGCTACAATGACGTGTTAACTCCGAAACATGGCGCATTCTATCCTCGACGATTTGACAGGTAATAGGTGGGGTTAACCAATCCCGGAAACGTCAACAACCTACCTTTCTCGTTTTTTTTTTTTGAATTTTTATCTCTCTCTCTCTCGTGCTTTTTGGCATTTTTAAGTGCATTTAGATTTTTGCGCTTTTAGGTAAATTAAAACAAATTTTATATAAACGTCATTTATTGCACTTACTTCACTTTGACATTTGATGTGACAGTTCGCGATAATACTCCATTTTAAAGCAATGCTTGTGAATGATCATTATTTCTAGTATTCAGTCTTGCTAAATTAAAATTTAATGTCTTTATAGACGTCTCACTAGACGGCTCCTCTGTGCAATCTTTGTTGGAGTCACAGACCTTGATAGCTGAAGTCGAGCAGTCAGGTATATGTGCAAAACAGATATATATCTATAATTTTATTTGATGTTCTTTAATGTATATTGTGTAATGCTTATTGTATGCAATATTGATATTTTTTCAACAGCGATCGATCAGGATGAGGAAGATATATTTCAATGCGGCAAGTGCAAGAGCCAGTTTACATCATTGCAGATGTTTGTGCTCCACAAAAGAACGCACCAAAAGACGCAGGAACAGACAGTGGACTTAACTCAATTCCTGACAAACGATGAAAGTCAGGTGATGCATGTGGAAGATGCCACTCCGGATGAATCACAGTACAATTCGCAGGAAACCTTTCAGCTTGGAGAACCCATTATTCTGGAAGAAGCAGATATGTTATTTAGGTATGTTGCTATAATTAATAATTATAAATATTATATAGTATGCAATTATAAATAGTCATAATTAAGTATTTTTACATTGTTTTTAGTGTAGATTACTTTTTATATTTATAAAACTTGTGCTTTTTAATATATGTACATGTTCTTGAGTTGATTGATTTAATTTTTGCAGTGTGGACCAAGAGGCTGCCAATTATTTCACCACAGATTCTACATTCAGTGTGCCAATTATCTTGAGCACGGAACATCTGGACTCTTTTGTCCAGGCGACAGGGGAGGATTCGAACGAGGTGCCGGCAATACAACTGCAAAACGATATCAGCTCTCAGGAAGACGCCTCGAGCCAGTCCGAACATCCTAGCGCTTCGTTGATGGACAACGAGCCATCGGTAGCGGATGAACCGCCTGTAGCAGACGAACCACCTTTAGATGGCAATGAATCTTCCTTCGAGAACAACGAAATATCCCTTCAGGATAATTTGCTTGATGAATTAGAAAACGACAGTAGTCAAGCGCAGAACTTAAAGGTATCTACTGATGTTGTCTTCAATTTAAATAAACTCTATAAAAAAGAGAGAAAGAGAAATTAATATTTTTATAAGATTAAATTGAAGAGAAAAATAAATAAATATATACTTTTGTTTTCAAATATTTAATTGATTTATAAAATTTAATTGTAGAATTTTTGTTACATTCTCTTTGTAAATTAATTAACAGATTAGGACAGTATAGTTTTATAATAAAATACATATTTAATTTCACCGTTGCAGTATAAGTGTGGCTATTGCAACAAGCAATTTGCAAAGAAATTTTATTGGCAGCAACATGAACGTTCTCACACTGGAGAAAAGCCTTACCAGTGTGTAGTGTGTGGTCGTGCATTTGCACAAAAGTCAAATGTGAAGAAACATATGTCTTCGCACAAAGTCTGGCCTGGCACTGCTATTCATTCATTACCACCAGAGGTAAAATGTCTTTAATTAATTAAAACTAGTATTTTTATTTGAATTTTTTTTCGTAAAAAGGAAAGAATTTTTCTTTTTACAAATATGTATTACAAGAATAGAAACGTTTTGTAATTTTTAGATTATACAAAGTTTTGTTGATGATTTTTAATAACATGTATTAACAATCTTCATATATTATTTGTATAATTTTCCTCAAAATATCAGGCACCTCTAGACGGAAGTATCGACCGCACGTATCACTGCCAATTCTGCAAGGAAACATTCGACTCGTACAAGGCTTTGAAAGGACACCTCATCGTCTCGCATCTAGCGCTGAAAGTGTACAAATGTGTGCAAAGCAGCTGCAGCATGATGTTCTCGGAGCTAGAGGAATTCCTGGAACACACACGTAGTCACAAGTGCTCGGAATATCGGTGCCACGTATGCGGCGAGGTATTCAGTACCCTCTCGGATCTCGGTCGTCATCAGTACGTTCACTCCGTCCAGAAGCAAAAGACTACGGAGAAGTACTATTGCTGCTCGGTCTGCAAATCATCCTTTTCGAATCTCGAAGCGCTGCAACATCATCAAGAAACTACTACACACGACTATGCATGTCTGCACTGTGGCAAAAGTTTTCTCATCGAGAGATTTTTACGTCGTCATCTCAAAACCCATTCTGCGTCAGCGAGATTCGCTTGCGAGGATTGCGGCAAGGCTTTCAAAACTGAGCAGTACCTGGCCAATCATAAGTTAATACACAGTGAGGAGACACCCTTTACTTGTCCGGTAAGTAACAGAGTAATCGGTTTGAATAAGACTGTATGTTATTTATTGTAACTTTAAAAAATGATTATATTTGTAGCATTGCCCGGCTAGATTCAAGCGGAAAGATCGGTTGGGACGACACATGCTGATCCATGATTTGACGAAAAGGCTCAAGTGTCCATTTCGCGGTTACCTGGGCTGCATGAGCGAATTTTCGCGACCGGATAAGCTTAAACGGCACCTGTTGACGCACAGCAACGTCAAACGATTCAGCTGCAGTCATTGTAATCGCAACTTCCATCGGGCGCAGGCTCTCAAGCATCATGAAACGAACAAGCACAGTCTCAAGTGTGACATTTGTTCTCACGTGAGTCCAATTCTCGATTCGAAATACTGATAGAATTTCATTCCTTGATAGCTGATTATTATTTGTTCACAGGCTTTTAAGACTAAAGAGCAGCTGATTACCCACAATTGCGAGCAATCGGGCGAGACTAAGAAGCACATGAGCTCGCAGCTACCAAAAAAAGCATCAGGATCATTTAAGCCAAGGAAACCAACTCCAAAGAGACAAACGTTATCAAAGACTGCAGTTTCGCTTGTGGATAAAGAGAAATTGGAAAAATTCAAGACCGACGAAATAGAAAGAAAAGTAATTTGTATTTTAAATCATTCTTTACATCTTTTCTTTCACAGTTTTTGCTTCTAATCTAATCTAATCTAATTTCTCATTTCTTATTATCAATTGTTCTGTTTTTATTTTTTGTATTTATATATAAATTTTTCCTCTTGCTATCTCTGTTATATTTGCACTTAATTCCTTAAATTCCTTAATGTCATTGCAGATCGCCTCTGAAACATTCAAGTCTGACGATTTCGCTGAAGACTTTTGTAAGAAGACGGGAAACATTCCTCCCGTCTCGAAGATTGAATTGATCGGCAGCGAATTAAACGAGCGATCCGACTCGCCAAATATGATCTTTGAAGAAGATTTTAAGCGGGACATAGAATTTTACTCGTCCACAAATGAGTAGAGAGTTTTGCAATACATATACATATATAAACATATATGAATATATATAAACATATATGAATATATATATATATATGCATAAATGTACATATATACGCATATATGTTTATTTAAATATTTTTGATTCGTATTTATAAATTGTACATTAAATTAGGACGTAGACAAGTCGTAGCACGTGCAATGGGATCATCGGCGAAGACGTAAGTTGCATTTTATATTCGCGTACAATATTTTACGGTAGTTTACATATCTGTGATAATTATATTATAAATGCTCTATATCGATTATATATATATACATATATATATTAAGTAATTTATATATACACGCACACATCGAAGATGTTTCGGTGTCGTTGTCACAGTTTCGATTCTTCTATGAGAAAACTCGTCGTATAGTCACAGCTGTAGTTATAATATTTCGAGTATCCTTTTGATGCTTTTGTTCGTCAAATTTTTTAACAATAGATTATAAGTATGTGCATGATATCTCAGAATTGTAACGAAACGTTCAGCGCAACGCAGCATCTCTTTTTAATTTATTTGTGATAAAATTTTAAAAAATCTACCAGACTTTTCATACAAATGTGTGAAAAATATAACTTTTAAGAAAGAATATCAATTTTATGAAATAGAGCCAATGTTTTAATTATTGAAATTTCCAGAAATTTCTCTCCTTTAGATCCCGAATTTCAATTATCAGCACTTGTGTTCTTTTCTCATATTAATCAATTCTCAAAAAATCAAATTAATTTATTAACTTTGCATTTACACAGTGCTTCAAGTTCAAATGCGTTATGCAAACGAATGAAAAATTTCTGTTCATTAATTTAGAAATTCTATCGCGCTAGAGTTTCCTCGTGCGATAATATTCGGAAGGAAGTGGTCAGAGCAAAACCGCAATTAGCGTCTTTAAGAGAGATTAAGGTGTACGTAACGTTAGTTTGCTGTGTACATTTTATGGTGTACGGTCAAAAGTTTTCTAGGTGTAAGCAAATGAATATATACAGTTAATTGAAAAGAAGAGATCATGCCCCTTCGCAAAACGTATCAGGTCAACAATCGAGAGGAGGGTAAGGCTGCTCAACGAGATCAATCTTACAGAAGCTGCCTCATCGCGCTGCTCATCTTCTTTTTTATGTGCCTTATTCTTATCCTCGCCTGCATACCCTGGAAAACGCAAAATTATATAAAATACAAGAATCAATACATTGAACATGAGCCACAGGTAATTCTGTCAATAAAAATATCTTTGGGAAGATGTAAATGTACTAAAAAAAAATTACATGAAAATAAGAAGGCAGATTTTATAGAGTGAAAATTTTATACAAGTTATATCTATATTACAAATTTTGTAATTTTTACCAATAATCATCTCTTAATTATTATACGTATAATTTTATTAAATATTTTAAACAGCATCATCATGGAAAATCTACGAAGGAGGCAACGACTTCAATAGACACAACAATTCTATTAACGATTTTAACGACTCCAAGAACAGCAATTACATCCGCTACAAATATAGAGAGAACTGATAGAACAAAATCAACAAAAAATATCGATGTCATTACTGAAGATTATTCGATGAAGAACATCAAGGGATCTCGTCATTTCGAACGTTATTCTGAAAATAGGACAATCGAGGATGAAACAAATGTATTTTCTGCAACTATATCTAAAAAAGAAATTGAAGACATTTCCACAATGAAAGAAACCACTCAGTATATAGAAACTACGAAAGAAGGCATCGATTTGGCTACATTGTCACCTGATATTGTAACTTATAGTATTGATAATGATGCAGCTTTAACATTATCAAATGAATCAATTGTCAATGCTACGTTAAAATACAATGTTACAATTATTGATATTATAGAAAATGTTGCGTCTTCAAAATCCATTGAATCTACGACTGATGGATATACTTCTGATATGTATTATAGCACAGAGAAAGTTGATACTGCAATTGATAATATTACAACTTCAACATTATCATCTCCAAATGATTTTGAAATATATACTGTTGAAAATTTTACTAATAAATATGAGAGATTGAAAGCTACGATCGCAACTGATATTACAACGCCGAGCATTTCGACTGATTCTGAAGAAAATATGAGTGCCAAATACTTCTCCGATCTGTATAATTATTCTGCGAAATCACAATTTGAACAAATTGTAATAGCAAACAATGTAACCACTTCAACATCGCCGATTCAATCGATGAAGATAGAAATGATTCAAATGATAGAAGATTCAAATGAAGAAGATAGAAATACTAAGTATTCAACAAATTTAAATTATATGGAATCTACCACAGAATATAGATCAACATTGATTAATGAGAATGTAACGAGAAGGAATTCTGCCACAATAAACTATAACATAGATGAGAGGTCTTCAGCAGCTACAAACGTAATGTAACACGAAATTGAAAAATAATTAATAATTTTTTAATGCGTTATAAAATTTAAAATTAATTTAAAGTTTTATTTTTGATATTTGGGATAATTGTCATAGATCAGCTTTATAAAATATGCAAAAAATTTATATAAACAATTATAAGAATATTTAATTTTTTGTAGGAAATTGAAGACATGGCAAATACCTCAAAAAACTATAGCGAAATTACCCAAAAGTACAATGAGAATGTGACTTCTAGTACAACGAAGGAATACAATGCATTTTTCACAAACAATTATGCAAATGCAACTAATTTTGCTTTTTACAACGATACAACAAGTACAATAAGCCACGACGAAACGAGAATTATGATCACACTTCCTGACGAGGATACGAATGTAACGAATGTTTGCGAAACAGGACACTGCAAACAGATTGCCAGCAAGATGTTATCCTACATGAATCACACGGCTGATCCTTGTGAAGATTTCTACGAATACGCTTGTGGTGGTTTTGAGGCAGATCCACAATTGATGGACGGAAATCTAATTCAGAAATCCAGAAATTATCAACGAATTATCAGTATATTGATCAATTATTAAAAATTATAAATTATATTATTTATTAGTATTATTTTAAATTAAATTAGTCTTATTTTAAATATTTTAGGACAAATGTTAAAAGAAAAACGTGAAAACGTGCATTCAAATTTTGCAATGTACTATGACAGTTGTGTACAATATGAAAGAGATATAAACTTCAACGAAAGAACAAAAATGGGTAAATTAAGATTTAAGTAATAATCTAAACAAACAGTTAATAATTTTGTATAAAATTTTACATAATATAAAAATTATAAAGAATAATCGTTATTGATTAATTTTGTTACAGCAAGTGATGCATTAAAGAGAATAGGAGAGTTTTACATAAATGCCACATGGCCTGATAATTATGTTAACTTTACAAACTTATTTGCGCAATTAATGTTACATCATAAGTAAGATTTCGAATTTCAATAAGCTCTTATTTTATTTTCATAATTTGATAAAACATAAATTAGAATTATTTTATAGCGCTCTTTTATTCGACGTCGTGCCAGAATTGGATGAATATCGTCCGAGCAATTTCACGCTTAAGATAGGTCCTACAACATATGAAAGTCCTTTCAAATATATGGAGGATTCATGCTCCGAGATTGAGACGGAAGGAAATTATGTGGATCTCGAAATTTTATACAATAATTATCAAAAATGCAAGGTACGCGTAACTTATATTATCAAAAATGTACAAAATAAATATTTAATATAAAACAAAATTTTCTATAAAGAAATTATTTTTTATTAATTTTTTTTAAATATAGCCCCAACATGGGTTCCATTGGTAAACTTTTACTCAAAATATTTATTAATATTAGTAGAAAGGGAAATATAAAATAAATAATTAAAATAAGTTAGAAAGTAAATACAATAGATTAATAGAAGCAAATTAATAATTAAATAATTATTTCCACTTTTTTTACAGAGTGATACAAAAGAATTTATGAGATCTATTAAGGAAGCTCTAACAATGCTTAATGTTTTTAAAAGTTTAAATGATAGTTACCTAGAATTGGAAAACATAGAAAAAACCATTCATGTGATCAACACTGTTCTAATACAAGGATTCTTTTCGGTAATTACAATTTAACAAACTAATAGTTTTTATTTGACAGTAAAACAATATTAATTTTGCAGCATTTTCCATCTAAAAGTGAAATACGAGAAGCATATGTGATGAATAACTACAGCAAAATCAGTTTAGAGGAGTTGCAGAGCAAAAGCAAGTTTGTAAGTAAAAACATGATAATTTCAATGAGGTTTTTTCTTGGTGAAATTAAGAGAAAAATTTCATAATTTCTGTAATACAGAGAGAATAAAAAGAAAAAATATTTAATCTAAATTATTTATTTCTTATTATTCAATTTTTTTATTCCAGGTAAATTGGTCGCAATTAATTTGCTCGTTAACAGAAATGGATATGATAACGAGTGTGGCTAATATCCAAGTTTATTTTTATACCGAACTGATTAAAGGTTTACGCAGATTAGAAGAATTTAGTAAAGAAGATCCTATAGGTCTTAATAATGCAATAATAGGATTATATGCACACAAGCTATATCACGAGGTAATTAACAAAATTTTGCGTCAGCTTTTCTATCATTTTTTGAACACTTTACATTTTATAATGATTTATTAATTAAAATGCTTTATTTTTAATTAAATAAACCTTATTAGTTGGTGCTGCCAAGACGCAATAATGTGAAGGATCATTGTTTTCAAGTTACCACCTATCTCTTACAATTGGAAGCATCTAGTTTATATATATCTTCCTTTGCCGACCATGAAATAGCACAGATGAATAAAATAGTAACTAAACTTTAGTATAAATAAAATATATAAAATACAGAGATGCAAATTTTTTGACTGTATGCATTTATTATTTTCTTTTTATTCTCTTTAACAGACGAAAAAAATGTTCAATGAACTAAAACAAACACTAAAGTTAAAAACTGAAGAAGCGCAATGGGCCAGAGAGGAAGGACGACAAGGATTGTTGAAGAAAATCGATAGTCTCGAGCTTGCACTGCCTGTTATTTCTTATTTCAAGAACAGAGACTCGCTATACAGTGAATATAATGTGTCACAGGTAAAATTTTTTTACTGTTACTATTTTATTAAATGGATATTAATAAAACAATTTTGTTGAAGATTTATCAATATAAATCTTATTTAGTTTGTCTAATTACATCATATACATTGAAAATAATAAATTTCAGATAATTCTATCTGACAATTATTTCAATAATTCGATGATTCTGCTGAAAAGATATCGAACGCTGATGTACATTGAATTAAGACGAGAAATCGGCGATCCAAAGCAAATGTAAGATACGCAATTCATGCAATTAAATTTATTCTTGGAACTTTTTTGAGAAAATTGCAAAGATTCTTAAAATCTTTATTTTTGCAGATAGTATATATTGTTAGATTTTTTGTTTGTGAAATTTTTTAAATTCAGAAGCTCAAAAAAAACTTTGGATCTCTCTCATCACTGTGATTTTTAAATTTTATTTCTTAAATCTTGAAGACTGCTGAAATCGAGATTGAAATATTTCTATAAATTGCGTAGTTGGACGTATTATGCAACGCCATTCCAATCGAAAGCGCAAGCAATCTACGGCTTGAATCTCATTGTGATTCCTTATGGTATTATTGATTGGTCCTTGATAAATGATGAACTCTCCTTTGATTATCTTCTGCTCGCAACGCTCGGAAATTTAATAGCACATCAGATCGCCCATCATTTCGACGCGAATGGTAAATGAAACAAGCACGTGCTAATTATATATAAATGAATATTTATAAATTGCTCTTATAAATAAAGATTTTTCGATTATTCGTGTTTTCATCACATATAGGTATACACTATTGGGACCAAACTAGGAATACTCAAGATTCCCTGATGTATGAGAATGAATTCACTGATACAAACTTTGACGATTACATCAATTGTCAAAAGGAAAGCTTATATCAAGGACCTATGAACATGACGTTACCCTTCACTGATCAGACAGTGTCGTTTATGGTAAACGAATACTTAACTCTTTAGAATATTTAATCCTATTTATTGCATAATGTATATATATAAATATATATACATTGCATTGTGCAATAAATATACATATATACATGTATATAATGAAACAATGGTTAAAAAAGATTCTGCAACAAGATTTAAAATAAGACGCGAATCGCTTATTATAATTTATCGTTTGCAGACACAAATTATAGATACTTTCGAATATTCTAGATTCCGCGATTGACCTTGAACGAGCGGTTGTCTGAAATTATGGGACTCAGACTAGCCTATGATACTTTGGCTCTTACTAGATCGAATGCGGAGAGAAGGCTTCCATGGCTAAAACTCCGCATCGATCAATTATTCTATCTCGCCTACGCTCAGGTACTGTTCTCATAGTTTGGTTTATATTAATCATAGTTTTATTTAGCGGGGAGAGGGTGAGAAGATTCTTTCGAGTCTCGGATTATTCCGAGGAAAGTTCATGCATCATCCACTCCGGATAATTAAAGCTCCTGGATCCTCGCTGCAGTTATGTTAGATTTTTGACGTCAGAGGCGAGAAAGCACACGCTGAAAATTTTTGGATGCCATTTCGAAATAAAAAGATATTTCGGTTAAACAGCACTTCAGAAACAGGCTTCAGCACACTCTTAAAATATCTTGAAAGCTATCCTTTTCTCTTTATAATTAATCAACAGTTGTAAAATGACTGTAATATATAATTACATTATATAATTAAATCATAAAGGGAAAAAAATAGTTTTCGAGATATTTCAAGAGTGTGCTAAAGCCATCTGTAGTTTCATTGAAATGGTATCTAAGAATTTTAGTGTATCTTCTCGCTTCTAACGTCACAGTTCCAACATGATCAGCGAGAAGAAAGGAGCCTTAATGTTTTTATCAAGTTTTTATTAATCTCTGCCGATTGCAGACATATTGCACGAAGACGCCGCTCACGTCGTCGTACATCTCTTTACACGAGAGCGAGAATTTGCCAAACCGGATTCACGTGTTTGTCTCTGCATCGAACAATAAACTCCTCGCCGAGGCGTGGAACTGTCCGCTGGGTTCGCAGATCGCTCCCAACGACGTTTGCAGCATCTTTCCGTATATAGACTTCAAAGAGACCGCTGCACTGATGCCGGAGTGAAAATTGATTGAACGGACATTGCGATCTATTATAGATCTATTATAGACTCAGTCAGCTTACAAGTATCCGCGGCGCGAACTATTACAAGATACTAAATCGATAGATACAGAAACGAAATTCACGTCCGTCTGTCCGTCCTATGAGATTCGCAAGTAAACTTTTCTAATGTACAGGTATACGGACAAACGATGATGGATTTCTCTTTTATTTGGAATAAAAAATATTAAGTATTTGCTTTTAGTTTCATACGCGTGAATGATGTATGTTAAGACTACATCTATAATTCAATCTTGTATTAAAAAATTGAAAAACGTGTATTTTGCTTCTGTATCTCTAAATTTGTATATACAGAGATTCTTATTCATGTGCAAGGAAGATATGTAGTATATCTTAAATTTAAAAGCAGTATTTCTTGACGAACAATGTCGTTGCAAGCGCATTCTTTGCGAAATAAAGTTACAGCTATGTCAAATGAAAATGAGTAGAAATATGGTGTGAGGCAGATGAATATGAATAAATAAATGATATTTACGTAAGTCACATCGAACTTGACCGAACGCTAAATCGGAGCGTCCGCGGACCACTCGAGTGGTAACAATATTCTCTATTTATTCTGAGGAACATATTAACAACAGTTTCGGAGACATTCGTACCACGTCACATCATAAGTAATTAATTCGCACGCACGCATTATCATTTATCCTATAAATTTCTTCTACGCGCGATTGTTTTATTCGACTAGAAAATATTCATTAGCGTTCACAGCTCTCACATCGAGCGGTCCTCTTTAGTTCTTTCCTCACAGCTCTTTCTTATCCAATTCTTCCACAGATTTCGTACGGCGAACCATGTTCCCTGAAACATGCATATACATTCATAAATAATAACTCTATATATTGATCGAATATCGATCATCGACTGACGTGTAATATTTGATTTTAAGATATTTGAGAAATCTCGAGATAGCAAAAAAAAAATAAAGAATTTTAAAAGATAAAAGATAAAAACAGTGAAGAGATAAAACAGAAAAGTAAAAAATATATTTAATTAAGATTAAGATAATTGATTTCTCAAATCTGATTTTCTAAATAAAATCAAGAATTGTTCATTAATATGTTAGAATTGTTAAAAAGTAAAGAAACATAAGAGAAGTAAATTTCCAAAATGCAGTTATTTCAAGATTGGAAAGTTTTAGAATTCAATAAGTGCAAAGTTTCCAATAATTTAAATTGAAGGAAGATTTAAAATTTCAACATTTGCAAATTTTCCAATATGCAAAAAGAGATTCAATCATATAAAATAATTTTATGATTTGGATGGTTAATATAATTTTTCTTCATTACTTAAGTTATAAAGAATATAGATGAATGAGAGATACACGAACAAGCTACAGATAAATGGACAGATTTAGAAACAGTGACAGCGACGATGAGCGATTAATCAAGAGTGCCACAAACTCAGTAGATTATACCGAGTATCGTAATGATCCAATCAACACATACCGCTTACGTTCGTGTTAAAGTTGCCTAGATGAGAGACGGACCGCCTTATAGTGGCTTTCTTTCCCGTCTGCAGCAATCAGCACCATGCATTTGAAAGGAACAAGAAGTCAATTATAAAAATTGATAATTACTTAGCTATTGACAATGAAGCAGCTTATGGCAACACATAGGGTCACTATAAGTAAGTTTGTAAGAAACAAAGGGAGATTTCTAGCTCATATTATTATACTATGTTTCCTTTAATTTTTTCTCTAATACTAAAAATATCGTAGCAAAATATTAGTATTTTTTCTGAATTTTAATTTTAGAAAAGGATCAAAAACTACAAATCTTACTTCAAAATACTGATGCCACAAGACACAGCCATAGACACAGAGAACAGAGACTAGAGACTGACAGAGCAACCAAAGTAGGATATTGAGGGCTTGAGTACGCTCAAATAAAGCTGCACCATGACGTATACACAGCAGGGCTTCAGTCACCATAATTGCTCCATAGACCCAACATTGAGTTCCCACTCGACTACATGTCGGATCAGTGACAAACATATAATACTGCCTGTAATTGTAATAATTATATTAGTTTTCTTTATTAATTTTAATATTATAATCAGATTTAAAGAATTCAGAATATTAATTTCTAAAAATATGATAAATAATATTAATATATAATTTACATTAATATATTTTTTATAAATATATAACACACATACACATTTACAAATCTCTCTTAAAATAATCAATGTTAAAAAATTTAAAATTTTAATATATTCATATATTTCTCACGATTTTGAAACTCTTAAGATTCTTAAGAAATCTATACTTTTCAGATCTAAATCAAAGATCAAAATTGTGCATTTTCTACTCACCTGACTGATGGCGCGACTATGACGCCAATCAACACTAATCTGGCCACAACAAAAGGATGAGATGGCGGAAATTCATAGACATGCTTCAAGAAGAAGGTATTGAGCTCAGAGACTTGCCAAAATATCACTAATTGGCACAATGCGACCAATCGCATATGTGTGCAAGTAGGATCTAGCCATCTGACAGATGTCCAGCTACCAGGTGTGAATTGTAGCATTGCTCTCTTCAGCTTCCCAGTAGTACTCTCGATGTCACGGATGCTGACCCATCTGTGCATTCAAGAAATAAAATAAATACAGAATTCAATATATTTATTGAGGAAAGGAAAAACTTAATAAAATAATAAAATAAATGTTAATAAAATAAAACATTTCTATATAAAAATAGATTAATATTATACAAGTGAAGAATAGATTTCTCATTTAAAAAAAGATAAAACTTCAAGATCTTTGAATGATAAAGTTAAAGATGTACTTACTTATATTCCCGCATCTCTAATATGGAGCAAATCTTCAGGCCGACCCAAATACCCAATCCATTGCACACAAGAACATCCAGAATCAGTGCATCCCACCAACATTCAACAAAGTTCGGCAGCAAATGCGCAAAGGCGATCTCTGTCACTTCCCACATTACACTAATGGCCCAGAGGATGCCAAGATGACGAATCAGAATAGCTTTGAAGGTCCAGCCAAGAAAATGAGCCATTGCAAACACGTCCAAGTGATTCCAAATTTTTTCTACTGTGACGTCTGAGCAATTAACACCATACTCCTTATCCATGTCGATGTGAAAGGATGCTAAACCTGGATCTATCCATACCAGAATTTTTCTAACTGTCTCGTAGTTTTGGAACAACAAGAACAACAGACCCATTAGATACAGAACACTGCAGCCAAATACTATCCGCCATACCACTGGATGAGGCCTGGTGAATGGTCCATTGGGAAACGTTAGGACAGATATGATGAGAAAGAAGAAAACGACACATAACATGCCTGCCCACATGTTATCCTCGACATTGATGGTATTTCTGAAATCAAGGTATTTAGAAAAATATAATAAACATATACAATATAACAAGATAATGATTTGCAAATCATATTTACATGAATATTCTCGTTATAGCAGAATTAGAATAATCAAATTTAGTCAAATTCTTTCAATACAATGTCTTTTAGTATATGTTCTATATTTGTCAACCTTATTGTCATAATGAAAATGCCACAATAAATATTTTTTTTAGATACATCCTGTTCAGAAATTTAACTTACAATTAGATATTAAAAAATTAGTTTAAATTTCTGACAACTAACACTATAGTTAAAAAAGGGATATAAATATTAATAAAAGCAAAATTGATGCAAGAAGAAATTATGTAACAAATACAGAATATAGTATGCAAAACAAAGCATAATCAAGTGTGCTTATAATAGACAATCCAGAAAAAAAAACTATAATTATTCTTAAATATTTCTGTGTAGAATTACTATAAATTGATTAATATATCACTCATCTTGAAAAGAAAATAAATGGCAGAATTGCAACATCAATCATATACATATAAACATTTAAATCTTGTATATAACATATAAACGTTGCATCATTCATCAAGGCATTATACTAAGCCATTGTCGAGGAACTTTGTCTCTTATTGTTCTCGCAGAATAATTATCTTATCGAGATTCGATACCGATCTATATTGAACGAATACATAAATTTAATTAGAGGCTTATGATATACAATGAATAATATAAAATATAAATACGATGAATTTTCCAAGGGTTAAAGAGACGGACGTTTACAGGTACCTGGTGAACGCCGAGTATATGACTGCGCCAATGGAGATGAGCAGCAGAGTGATGGTGTGCGGTTTGTAAAAGAACTCGAGGGAGATGTCGTCGACCGGTCTCTCGTTGATGCTCGGGAAGCTGTCAGTCCCGGCGCGGAGTCTACGGTCGTCGACATGGTCGCCGATGTTGGTGTCAGCTTCCGGAATACTATCGACATCCTCGATGCTTCTCGCGCTTCAGCCTCCTTCCTCGATCACCATCGATGGAGAAACCACGTTGCTTTCGCGCGCCAAATCTCGCACCTTTCCCGTGAACGTGCTGTCGCACCAGCCGTCATAGACTCGTGAATGCGCACGATAGACTCATGCGACGTGAACTTGCCCAGTTTGCGGCGCTCAAATAGCGCGCAACTTCACGCCGGTGCGCGAGCGATCGAGGCCACGAACTAGTCGAGCGATTTAGGAAGGAAACCGTACGTCTAAATTCAATCGCAGCTGCCATACTTTAAATTGTTACTGCACAGGAATTTAATTAATAAATTAATTTATTATATAATGTATTAAAATATTATATATGTATATTTATTAGATGTAATATATTAATATTGAATAATATATAACATTAATATTATATATTATATAATATTATTTATATAATATATATATATATTATATAATATATTAATATAATTTAATGAACTAATTTATAAATAAATAATTAATAATTATTATTATTATAATAATAGTAATTATAAAAATAATTAAATATATAAATTATAAGTTGTTAATAATTAATTAATTTTCAGTTAGCAAACATCACGTGACTAAAAATAAAGATACCAATTCGTCATTTTCGATCATGTGATCTCTTTTGACGCAAAAAAGTGAGTATTATAGGTGACAGTTTAAAATAAAGCATTCTATTGGCTGGCTATTTTTATACGTAAGTTATGCCATCTATATAGATTTCATATTCGATGATTGAAGAGCGCCGAGTTTGCGATGGGAATCGCGTTCTATGCGAATCGAGTTATTCGATGATGCAATTCAACACTTTCAAAAGTTTACGTTATTATAACGTAGAGCAGCGTTAATTACTGAATTAGAATAAAAACAAATTTAGATCCTAAACAATGATTTGCCGTAAGTAATCGTATATACGTATACGTTTTTATTATATGTACAAGCGGTTATATTCAACTCATCCTTATTCCTTTTTTACTCATAAAAACTGCATCTTATTTATTCAGGTGCGAGGAAATAAAAAGCTGGAATAAATACGCGATAATGAACACTGTACGTAAGTTGAATATCAATATTGTACGACTCGATCTCTACAAAAAGAAGCATCTGAAATTTATAAATGCAAATTAGAATATAAACCACGAAAAGGAATCGGAAGAATATATATATATGTCGCTTTTGAGAGAAGAATAATGGACAGTGTCGAGCGTATCAAAATCAAAACCAGTCGTGAACGTCGCAACCATATTTGGGGCCCATTTTTATTACACGATATATGCGACACGAGCAGCATCCCACGCACATTTGCAAGTCACATATGATTCATCAGGAATGAATCTCTTTTTTTCGAGCCGGTTCTAACGGTTTCCGGCCTCCGAATACAATATATTATTCGTCGTCATTCACGATCCATCAACGTGCACGCATCGAGAGAATTAATAAATTATTCCTTCCAACAATAAAGGGGATCATCAAGGAATAATGTATTTTTTAATATATGCTATATCGATGAGAAATTAGAAATCACCAAAGGTAATAAATAATTAATTGTGAATATAATAATTGAAATTTTTATTCGATGATAATTAATTTCAAATAATTTTTTTCAGATATGCAATAATGTGAAGTCGTTATATCGAAAAAAAATTTGTGAGAATAACTACAATATATTTCTTGAAATCTTATTAAAATATTGGGAAGATAAAAGGTATGAATTTTATATCATATTTTAAATAAAAACAAAAGGTGAAAATCCTACAATATATATATTATTGAATATAAATTTCAAGAAAAATTTAGTTCAGAATTTTATTATTATCTTTATTTGTTTTAATTACAAAATCTTCAATTTCATGCATTCATTTATTCAACATTAATAGCATATATATATATATATATATATATATATATATATATTATCTTTATTATATAAATAATAATAAAATGCAGTGTCTAGCAATTTAATGAACTATATAGGAATATATATATATTCATAAAAATCTGTTAGCGAAATACACTTGCATAAAATAAGTCTGGAAATCGAAATATAAAACATATGGGGAAAAAACAAAAAAAAAATAAAACGAGTGTATCACGTGATATATTTATATATACAGGAAAACAGCCGGCTTTGCGAACGTCGGTAACGCTCGGCCGTTCAAATGCGACCAATGGGCGCGCGGCGACGTCAAAGACGGACCAATCACGTGATCGCGTCGGCGGCGGCTCGAGCGGCGACGCGAGCTTTCGGGCGTCTTCGGCGGTCGCTCGGGAACCTTCGACTATCCTCGGCGACTCGGCTGCGTGAAGACGCGCGATAAAAGCGTCGTACGAAGCGACTGGTTGTACAGGAACTTGCTCATCTTTGTCGTGCTGTGCAATCACCTTGTGTGTTGCATCGCCGGTGCCGACGAGTGCTGCATCTGGAGTTCGATCGCGAGTTCGACGAGCCTGTTGCTCCCGAGAATCGAGAACAAGGATAGTCTCGTCGCTGAAAAAAAGCAGGTAAAAGATCGTGTTTCTCTCTCCCTCCTTCGTTTATCGCGACTCAAACAAAGAGATATACGCAATTTATCGGAGTGACGCGGTTGATCCATTCGTTTGTGGGGTTAATCATATGAACGGATCGTTGCTCATCGATTGTTTTTGGTAGGTTTGAAATGGCGAAAGTAGGAACGAGAAATATATTGCTGCTTCCGAATTGTGCAGATAATACGAAGGGACGGTTGTGTATTTCAATGACTTTTAGGTGATCGTGATAGGAGGTCATGGCGGAACGTTTGTAAATAAAGGAGTCGAGCCTTTGTCTAATTGGGTTATATCAGTAATACACATTATGTGTTAGTTAATATTCAATTATTGATCTACCTCAATTGCTTCTTTATAATTAGTCTATAAGTTATATTTTGTGTCATATAATATATTAATCTCCTTATTTAGTGAATTCTTTATGAACAAAGACATACATAATATGTACAAGGTGTTTATAAAATCAATACTTTTTCTTAATTAACTAAAAATGGTATTATATTATCACGATTGTTTAGAACCTTTGAAGAATGATTATAAAGTTATTAGCAATAAAATATAAATGATTTAAAAAAGTTAATATTTATATACACAAAACTATAACTAATTAAGTATTGTAAATTTTATACTTAAAATTATTTCTTTTTTTAGAACAAGAAATAATATATGTTTTATTCAAATCTTGAGAAAATATTCCTTAGTATATATATATAAAGAAGCAGATTTAAGCAAAGTAAACAATGATAGTCAATAGATGTCACTATATAAACCATGTGTACATTAATAATATGTTCATATATATTATATTCTGTTTTATTAAAACATTATTTTTTTCTTAGTAAAATGTGGAAACTATTTAAAATTTTTTATAAAATTGCAAAAATAAAATTCGAGATAAATGATAATTACATACTTTTCTTATTTAGTTAATTAATTTTTATAATGAAATTTTTTTACTCCACAAACTATCTGCAGAATTGAGATTTTTAATAAATAACACAAGAGTATATTTAAAAGTCTTTTTCTTATATTCTAAATTTTATTCTAAAATTATATAATATATAATTTTGAGAATATTTCTATTTTTTTATTATTTTTTACACACAATATAATGCTAAATAATAAATTCTTTAATAACTTTGTGAAATAGAAATGTCAATATTTATTAAATTTCAATATATGAAATACAGACATGTTACAAAATATACACACAAATAGATCAAATTTCCAAACACGAATAAAGTTTAATATAAGAAACAATGTAAAAATATTAATTAATCAGGTCTGTCTCCTTTTTTACTTATTTCCCGTTAAACTCTGAATCGATATTTAATATATATTTTGAACGGTGAAACTAACACATATAGAATAGATGTGACAAAGTCAAGAATCGTTGAAAAGAATAAATGTTATGACAACACATTTAAAATTATTGGGATTTGTTTTTTTCTCGAGTATCCAGTATATCCAGTTTGCTTTATACGGAACGTTTTTGTTGCAGGAACATATCACTATGGCCACCACACCAAAATCAGATGATTGTAGCAACGAAGAATGTAAGTAATTTTAAAATATGTAAAACAATATGGTGATTCACATGCAATACTTTATATATTTGATAAGAGAGAGAAAGAAAGAGAGAGAGAGAAATTAGTGAAAGTAGTAAAAGTGAAGAAAACTATTTTTCTAAAACAGTAATTATTTTCAAATAAATTCTTAACATTTATATTATTGATATAATAATTCTATATAATTCAATATATATATTAATATCAAAATTAATACGTATTATATATATAAATATTAATACATTAATATTAAAAATATTCTAACAAACATACAAAACATTGATATTGATTATATTTTATATAACGATTATATAATATGTGGAATATATCTGTTTCTATTCGTGTTCTCTGACATTATACGAGCCTCGCGTTTTTTTATGGAACGAGATCCCTCATTTTATACTGTATAAGCCCAAGTTTCGTGTGTCCATTCGGCGATATCGGGACAAAGGTTCAGCAATTAAAGAGGAGGAGCATGGACAATTCGGCGCCGTGCGTTGGAAGCACACCCTTAAACACCTTAAACACACTCAGAGCCCAGAGCTTGGCGAGACCGGCAGACGACATGTACGACACAGGAGGTCAGAGCCCTCGGACTCGTCTGGATTTGTCCTTGGCCTGGCGAGAGTTGCGGAGAAGATTGCTGCAGGCAGACTTGTACGGGACGGCGATGCCGCAGTAGTCTGACCGACCTGACTGCGACGTGGTGCGACCCCTCCGTGGCTCTCAACTTAGTATCGCGAATCGTAATGAGCGAAACGGCAAGAAAATCCGATTTTTCTGGCACCAAAAGCGCGAAATAGAGTTTATTTCATAAATTAAAATAGTTTATAAAAATAGTTACATAGTACAAGAAATCAATAGAAGGATAACGCGATGATAAATTCGATTTTTCCACCGATTTCTCACTTTCTATTGTTATCGTTGTCATTTAAATTTAATTAAATTGCAACGATCGAATCCGGTTAATTATGGAGCTCTGGATCGAAATCTTTTCATCAAGAGCTATCCGGAATAAATGTCTTTTTTCTACATAATCCACGTGATTTCTCGACAGTTGTCATGCATCATGAAAATTTTATTTCTCATTGATTTTCACAAAGAACTGACTCGTTGGTATCTTTCCGGCTGCGTCATAATGCGCGAGTTCCGACAAACAGCGTCCGTCTTCGATCGTCCTTTCATTGAAAAACTTTACACAAAGCAATCATTACGTGCCCTATATTTCTCATTCGTCATTGTCGCCTTATTCGTGCCAAATCAAATAATTTCTTCTCGATAAAAATAATCTTGAAATTATTGGAATTTTATTTTCACAGCTAAGCTCCAATTTTTAAAAATTAAATTTAAAACATCGTATTTATCTCGACTAAAGAGCCAAACGCGATGTTATTGCGACAGATTAAGATAAGAAAATTTGGAAACTAAGGAATTGAATCCTATGGTTGGGATCTCAGAAATTCCCCTTGTTCCTTCTCCTAACATCCCCTGTAAAGAAATAGACGAGAAAAATATTGGTCCGAAAGTCGGCTGAATCCCGGACATTTTTTTTTTGGCCTATACAGATAGGAATGCCGAGGAACAAAGACGCCATATGACATGCGGGGTTCCACAGGGGTCGGTACTTGGGCCCCTGCTATGGAACCTTGCATATGACGCCGTTCTTCGGGGAATTCCCGATTCAGCCGACTTTCGGACCAATATTTTTCTCGTCTATTTCTTTACAGGGGATGTTAGGAGAAGGAACAAGGGGAATTTCTGAGATCCCAACCATAGGATTCAAATTCCTTAGTTTCCAAATTTTCTTATCTTAATCTGTCGCAATAACATCGCGTTTGGCTCTTTAGTCGAGATAAATACGATGATTTAAAAATTGGAGAGCCGACTTAAAAATATTCTTATTATTAAATTTAAAAGTTCGTGGTTTTCAAAACTCAAAAATTTCAAAATCTGAAAATGTCACCAGAATTTAAATACAATGATTTCGGAGTATATATTTAGAGACTTATTATTTCTATTATTTGGAGATTTAAAGAGAGAGAGAGAGAGAGAGAAAGTTGGAAAAGTCGAAAAATAATTAGAATTTTTATTACGGTATTTCGTAAAATTTTATATAGATTTTCCCCAAACGAATTTTTATTTGATGGTTTTTTCATTCGATCTCTGTAACTCCTCGTCAAATTGTTTTATTATTAGTTTCCTCGAAATTATTGTCGTATTTGTCTTCAGATTTATTTTGTTCAATTAGTTATGTAATCTTCAACTTGCACAAAATTGTTTATTCAACTCGAATTTTTTATTTTCTAAATTGTTGCATATTTCAATCCATTCATCACATAATTTAATCTGCATTTGCAAATCGTTCTCCAATTGTTTTATGTTCTCATTAAGAGAGTTAATTCTGTTTATATAATTTATGTTTAACGTTTTTTTTCACATATCTTGAATGCTGTTTAAATGATTTTGTTTTTGTTTTAATTGTTTACTAGAAAAATAGAAATTTTATTTGCGCAAACATATATATTTTGGAGAATATATTTTGGAGACAATAACGAACAAACCAGAAATAATCGTAAAATAGTTGTAAGTATTATGTAGTTAATTTGATTTAATTTCTCTAAGCATTGTGGGAATAACGTAATAAAAACTTAATAAATATTGCAAGAACATGTGAATGTGCAGATTGAAATTTCTATTTTTTTCATGATTTAGAGACCATAATGAACGAAACAGAAAGTTAGATCAGACAATTAATTAGGCAAAATAAATTCGAAGATGAATGCGACAATAATTTTGAGGGATTAAAACTAGCAACAATTTGAAAATGAGTTACAATGAAAAAATAATCAAGCTCAAAGATTATGACGAAATAAGAAATGAAAAAACCGTTTTGCTAAAACAAATGTAGCAATTCAATAATAACAGAACGATACGTGAAGTAATGAAATTTTTACAGAATCAAGTTTGGCTCTTTTTAAAACATCAAATATATTGGTAGTATCGATTTAAAAAAATACAATAAGGGAATAGAACAGAAGGTGAAGAAAGTTAGAGAAATTGAGAAATAGATTTTCAAAGAGAGGAAGGAAATATATAAAACTATACTAACATTTCGGTCTTGAAAAAGCAATGCGATAAGAAGAAGCAAGAAATGGCAAATTTACAAAAGAAGATAGAAGAGTTGAAATCCAACGAAGAGAAACTACGGCGAAATCATAGCTGATAGTTTCCCTTTGTTGAATGTCAACTTTTTTCTTGAAATCTTAAAATCTAACGTAGAAAATGATGAGCGTGATACAACATTAAGGTTGAAGAATTTCGATATTCAAAGCTTGCGAGATCTATCTACACTGATGATCCAATTTCAAAGTTCCACTCAATGTTCAACTTCGATTATTCCTTCGTCCTTCTACACATTCATCGAGTCCTTTCATGTTTTACATAGGCTTTTCTCGGGACACCCCATACGGTTCATAACACCCCTCCTAGAGGGTTGCTCTAGCAGTAGACGATCGCAGGTTGGAGTTGCCAGTTGGAAGGGTGGCTTGTCGTCGGGTAGGCTGTTGGTTCCATGACGCGGACGAAGAGAGGGAGGCTCGGATGGAGAAGAGGAGGAAGAAGAAGAGGAGGAGGAGAGAAAGGGTGGTTGAGGGATATTGAGCGACGCCAAGGGTCGTGGCGCAGCATGCGAGCCAGTCGCCCTCCAGCCACCGCCCCAGTTACGACCTGAGCGACACTTCCGGTGTGCCTCACTCATTCTTCTTTTCTATCTTGGTCTCGTCTTCTTCTTCTTCTCCTTCGTCCATCCAGTCTCTTTCTCTCTCAGTCAGTGACTTGGTCCCGGCGTGCTCGATCTGTCATTCGCGTTGCTCCCCCGAGATCCGCCCGCGAAACTTGCCCTTTCGAACGAAACGAAACGAACGCAACATGCTCATCGGTCTCGTGCGCGATTCGGTGCTCCAGTGCTTCTGTCACAGCTGCAAGGCCCCGCTGGGTATCGTAGGTGAGTGAGAGGCCCTCTTCCTTCCGATTCCCCAAGTCTTAAAAAGATTGTTAACTGGCGCTACCATAAAATTATCATTTCTAATACTAATTGATCTAGAATCTTGGAAGATCATTTTCCTTATTTAATCCTTTGTAAACTGGGAATAATGATTTCTCATAGTCAGTCATTTATTTATCCTTGAAAAACAAGAATTCTATAGAATTTTCTTCAGTCCTCATAAAGTGTTTTACATTTAAAAAAATTGAAATATCAAAATTTAGAACAACAATATTTTTGTGTTTATGATCATTTATCATAGAACTTTATCAAGATGAAGCTTTATAAAGACTGCTATCTTTAAAGAACATTGCCAGAAATATCCGCCATTTTTCGATTAAATCTTTATAGAAGATCTTAAAATAGCATGAAGACTAAATATCTCTCTCTCATTTTTTGTACTATTATGATAGTTTTGTAAAAAAAATGTTTTATGCCATGACGAGTTTTATGTAGCAATTATTTCGTGCTCGAAAAAAAAAAAAATAAAATATCCAGTAGCATTTACTTTTTTTCTCTATGAAATTAGTTACTCTTAATAATGCCTTCGTAATATAATTTACTGGCTTTCGACCGTAATTATCCATTTAGCCACTTTTGGGCGGAGCTTGCTAAACTCTTTATGGAGCAATTGTAAAGTAATTTACTATTTATTGAGCCAAACTTTGCTCAGGTGCTTTTATGCTATTTATAGAATAAGGTACTGAACTGCAGTTCATTGCTTCTCTTCACGGCGCTTTTATTAAAGTTCCTTATATACAAATTTCAAAGCTGGAGATTTAATAAATCGCTTGTAAAGCATAATGCAAAGCGCATTTATAAGAAGATTTAAACGATGACGCGGATATTTCTAGCGATTTTTACAAATCTTTTTTAATATAATTTTTAAAAAAGTTTAATATTTTTTTTATCATAAATTTCAGCGATTAAAAAAATTAAAATTTTATCAAAAAGGGGTAGTAATTGGAAATGGAGATAATTAATTTATGGGCGCTGGTTATCGGAAAAAACCGGGAAAATCTTTCGACGAAAAATACTCTACCATCCTGTCTCATTCTTGTATCCCTCAGGGAAAGAAACTCACAGAATTGTCGGGGAGTGTCAACTATCGGGAAATAGATGCGATTCGTCTGCTATTAACAGAAAACATATCCTCATAGAGACCGCCTGATTTCGGATTTTTACTTGCCGACACGTGTAAACTCAAAATAACTGTAATCTTTATTATATACATATATTTTACAGATATTTAACTTAAAAATTTATTTTTAATCTAAATTAATTTTTGAATTTTCTTACATATTTTCTAATTACAGATTTTATCTCTTTTATTATTTGTTACATATTTTAATTTTCTATTATTTGCTTGAGTATTTTTTAATTTTTTGCTTGTGTGATTATTGTAGAATTAATTTACATAGAAACAAGATTTTGTACGAATATTATATATCTCCGAAAAATATTGCGTTTTTTCGTGTTCTTTGAATGCCAAGAAGACGGCCTTTACCGCGGTGCAAGGCGGTCGATATCACGGTAGTATCATGATATTATCCTAGGGCACCTGCAATTCGATCAATTTCTCGGACCGTCCGCGAATCGATACGGTCCACCATTTCTCTACGGGGTGTCGCAAAATTCCGTTGGCAAATTGACAAAAATGGCAATATATACGATTCTTAAGCGTCTATAAATAAAATCATTTCTCCTTTTCTTCTCTGCACAAAATATCGACTCTAATTATAAAAATAGAAAATTCAAATAAATGTATAACATTTATTATACCTATTGCATATATATATTTATTTATTTTATATACATATATATATGTATTAGTAATTAAATAACAATTTTATTTTTACTTTTGAACGACAATAAAGTTAATTATTTTTAATGTAGCGATGTATACAATTGCCAGAATAATGACTGGTTGTTAACTGTTTTTTTTTGTTTCTAATGATGTTTAATGTGGATTTAACGATGTCGGTATACACGTGTTCGGCTTGCCGAAATAATCAGGGTGCGGTCCAACATGGCTACGCAAAACAGTTGCATCGATCTCCCGATAATTAACTCATTGAAACACTGATCGATCTCTTAATCAGATAACCAGTTTTAACAGAGTTCAATTTTGACTTTTTATAGCCCGCTTTATTTCCAGAATAATCGTATATTCGTTGAAGCTTCAACAAAGTACGCTTGTGTCTTGTAACAATTTTTAATCAAACATCTTTTATGTTTATATAATTGTTAAATTGTATGCAATCAATTTGATAATTAATTATAATTAATTATCTATTGGAAAAGTGCTCCATTTTTATTAATTATTATATGATAGAATTTAATTGCACAATAGAGGAGACTGGTTCAACGAGTTAAGACGCAATCTCGACTTTTCTTCCCCTTTTCCTCGTTAATTTCCTTCCAAAACGTTTCGACTCTGTCTTCACTGAATTGAATCTGAATGTTCTGAAGCTGGACAAAGGAGGAATAATGCGCCGTTTAAGAAGCCCAGCGGAAAGGGCAAACCGCGGACCAAGCAGCCGAAGAAGGTGAAGTTCATCAGTGAGTACTCGGATAAATTAGCCAACATTGGGAGACCTTTAGCGAGCTTTGAATGACGTCAATAGGCGTATTGAGACGTACCTACCTACATTTGTTCGATCGAGCCAAATTGACTTGTTTAAAATTCCAGCGACGACATGGTAGAAAAAGAAACAGTCTGCTGACTAACAATATTTACTAAAGAAACATCAAATTCATATGAGGAAGGAAGTCTAATAATAAGCTACTTTGACCTTTTTGAAGAATTTTATCTATAATATTCTAGCTTATATACAACTCTTTCTTTCTCTCTCACCCTGTGTAATTGATACAATTATATGGTTCAATTGTGTGGCTAGAGTTAAAAATTATTTTACATTGTTATTTTTTATTATATTTATAATTAATTAATATTCTAGTTTTGAGGCTACATTGATGAATTAATTAATATATTTTATTGTAGTAAATATATTTAATAATTATGAAAACTAATGTTAAAATTGAAATCCAAAATTATTATTATTTTTCTTTTTTTCTACAAATTGTGTGTTTAAATCATTCTAATTATATAATTATTGTCTTATTATTTGTATTATGTGTGTAATTTTGTTAGGAAATTTAATAAGAAAATTCCAGCGTCTAAGGGCTAAAAGGGAACACCTTCGCTATTAAAGATCGGTGCAATGCCCTCGGCAAGAACGGTCGTGCCAATGTGTCGCCGCTGAATTATACATTGCAAGTGGGGAACATTTGCAAAGTTGTATTGTATTACGTGGACGTGTTCAGCAAAATATCGACAATTTTTCATAGCAATATTACGTTTTATTTCGTCGAGTAGAGCAAGAAAAAAGAAAGATGTAACAAACGCGAAAATTGTGCAATTTTTAATTGTTCTCCGATTATTTATCTCTTAATTATATGTATAAAGAATTTATTTAAATATTTTAAAAAACCGACGATCGAGCGTTTAATAAATTTAATCGGTACTCGAGATATTGTGCAAAGAGAAACGAAAAAAGATAGAAAATAATATTGTAAATTGCAATTCTCTGGAATGAAATAATTACTAAAATTTCGGAAAATTTTACCACGACAATGAAATATACGATACAATTTGATATACGATAATTACGGTATGGTTGGCAACCAGCGAGTAGGCGAAAAAGAGGGAGGAAGAGAGAAGAGGTGCGTGCGGCGACAGAGTAGACATCGCGGCGCCTACGTCCGATCGTTTTCTGATCGATCCTTCTTTATTGCTCTCGAGCTGTGAGTCATACTTCCGTAACTAGTCGGCGCCGGAAGTCTTGGAATTGCGAATTATGCCCATAGGGACTGCTATTCCAAGACGAGACACCGGGAGGCATTCGATAGAGATTGTAATTACTTATCGAGATCGAAGTGATTTCAGGAAAGTAATACGATGTTGAAGGATCTAAGCATCGATATCTCCAGGTCTAAGAATCGAAATTGTAAAATATTGTGATAATGATTTGAAAATAATATATTAATTACACTTGAAAATATATATTATACCATAGTCATATTTCGCTGTATCAACTCGCAATTGCTCGTACTGATTAATCAAACACTCATGTGGTACGATGAAAATTTACAGCGACTGAGATTCGATGCCAGGAGAAGACCAAGGGCGGACTGTGCTACGAAGTGATCCTAGCGGAACCAACGGCCCCCAAGAGAGCACCATCACCGCCTCAAACAAGCCCAATTCAGTTGACCCCGATCGAAAAATTGAGGGCCGCTAAGGAACGAAGAGAGTTCCTCGAGGCGGACAAGCTCGCCTGTCTCGCTACCAAGATCAGCAAGATCGAGGAGAAGTCCCGCAAGAAGGATGAGCTTAACGCGGCCTTTATTACCGCGACTCGCGAGGCTTTGGATGCTAAGATGAACAACACGGAGGAGAAGCGAGAGGCCCACATCGCCGATCTGAAGAGCAAGCTAAAAGAGCATGTGAGTAAGAAAGATTGGGGGTGGATCAATGATGAAAATATAGATTAATAATTTGATTACAAAATTCATTAAGTCCTGATTACGTGTTTATAAGTGGTTAAATGATTATTCGACAAGTATATGTCTATCAGTCAATTTGTCTTGTTGTTCTAAGCAACTGTTGTAATATTTAATTTTACTGCAGCTGGATGCTGTTGAACAGACTCGCTTGGGTCTCGAACTCCAAACCGAGGAAGTACGATACGCCGTCGAAGAGAAGCTGAAGACTGCTACGGCTCAACGTGAGGAGAATATCAAGAAAATGTTGGATCGTCTCAAGGAACATGTTAGTACTTTCTTATATTTATCTCCATATTTATAATTTATTAGACAGTTTTAATCGAATTAAACATTGTAGTTGTAATATACATATATGTAAAATTATATAAGATTTCTTATATTTAAAAATTTTCAAGTTGAAATAATTAAACGTCCCCCCTTTTGTCATTTTCTTTCTTTTAAAAGTAGCTTAACTGCACTACTTTTGTTTTGCATATTTTAACAAGCCAACTGTATAGGCAGGTAGACTCAGCAAGTATAGATATAACTTATCGATTCACGGTTTGTTTGCAGGAGGAGCAAGTAACTCGTGTACGTCAAGTAATGGCGGAGCGCGTGCAACAATTGGAGTCCCAAATTCAGAAGAAGCTGGAGCAGGCACGAGAGCGTCGCGAAGCAATTGAACGCGAGCAGAAGGAGAAATTGCGCAATCATGTAAGTTTTCGATCAAATGTGGCTCTTGCAGTTGATGTGGTGGTTTTGAAGTACGTCGATCTCTAGTTATCAGATTATAGCGAAACTTTGTCGGTTTTGGATAAATAAAAGATATATTAAAAGATAAATTTAAATATACTGATGTACTTGTATATACTATACTATACTAATGTATTGCTATTAAGTACAACACAAATTTTCAGAAAAAAATTCCAAAAAGCGACAGAGTCTCGTGCATAATCTAATCATAGCATTATATTCGTGAGCTTTTGAAAGAGAGAAAGAATGAAATTAAGAGAAATGTGAAATAGGGTAGCCTTGAATTGCCGACATTTTTTTGTGAAAAAAAGCACTGATCGAATGTGGACGTTTGTGTAATGGTGGTTTAGAACACAGTGAAGATAGCTCAAGTTCGTCAGACGGCAGCACGAGAACTCCTGGTGAAAAAGTTCGAGTTTGACAAGAGGGTGTCGACTGCGGAGCTGAATCGACAGCGAGAAATCCAGCGTCGCGTGCAAGCGATTCGCCGCCATCATGTAATTCCGTCGCCGCATTCTTAATCGCAACCGGGATCCTTCGCAAACATCACAATTTGTGTCTTGATAAATTGAATTCCATGCAAAGCTGTTGATTAATAGAAAAATTCATCTATTTTATTCTTTCTTATTTCTTTAGTATTCAACTTATTTAAAGCTCCTGGCTCTTCGCCGATAATAATAATCTCAAATAATAGTCATATTATGAATATAAAATAATAGTATTTAAAATATATATATTAAAAGAGTTAAAATTTTTTATTAGAATAAATCTTTTTAATCGTGATTATTGTGATAGAGAATATTAACCTAAATTCACTGAAAAATAATGATCAGAGTATATAATACACGCTTACATAACATACACTTTAATATTCAAAAATATATGATTCTAAATTCATAAGATTCTAAAATCGCAATTAATACAACAAATTGTAATGTTTGCGGATCTTATAAGTTATATATCAATTATTTTTTTTGTCCCTTTTGTTCCCATCTCCCTTCCATCATCAGCAGATAGCTTGTTATATTTTTTTAGGACCACGAAGACGTCGATAGTTGAGTTTGTATAAGGAATGTTGTTGTCGCGCTTTTACCAGATTATATTTTGCAGTCTTTCGATTATATTTTACGGTTACTTTTTTCCAGCATGACCGTCCTTATTTGTAGCTCATATGATTGTTTTAAATACAGAATGTGCTGGAGAAGACATAGGACCAAGCTTCATCATTTTCTCGCATAATATACGTGAACATTGACTTCTATTACTTTCAATAAAATAAGTATATATTAATTTAAATTAATAAACCGAGGATCTTATAATCTGAGAATCGATATCTAGAAAATCGAGAACAGCAAAAACTCCAACGCACTTTGTCTAAAGTTAGCCATCCATCAGCTTGCAGATAGAGAGCATGGCGTACTTTTCAACCTCCGTTTTTGATAAAATCGTATCGAAAAATATCGCTGTTATCTTTCATTTTCTTTCTGTTCCCGCAGGAAAGGCGTGCCGAGATTGTGAGACAGAATAAGGCGGCAATCCGCCAGGATAATAATTCCGTGAACTCGCCGCAGCCGAATCTACCGGTGGAGAACGAGACCGCCAGCTCCGGCTAAGTATCCAATATTCTCTTCAAGGCCGCTCGAACGCCCCCGCAAGACTCCGTTTCGCTTTGTGCCATTATTTTCTGACTCGAAGTAAAACGGGACGTCGATCGCGCGTATCAAACATGTCTGTATTTCGAGCTGGAGGAGTAGGGGAATATATCGGGCCTCTGCGATTTTTAAATATTGCGTGGATAATACTGCCTTTATCAATTTTTATTCACATATATTATTAAAAAATTAAATAAACGAAATTATTGATTAAATTATTATTTGTTGTACAGAAAAATGTTCAATGAGGAATTATTACAGTATTTTTATATGTGTTATTCTTCTTTTTCTATAAATGTATATTTTTTAATTGACTAAAATAGGAAGGATATAAATATATATTTTTAATGTTAGTGTTATTTAAAAGTTATTTAATATATGTATATATAATTAAATCTCGAAAACTTAAAATATCTAAAAATATATTTTTCCGACGATAACATAAGTTTGATGCAAAATTTGAATGTTTATAGCAATTTGAAGATTTATTCTGAAAACATAGTCTTTTTTAATATTAGTTTTATTTACAAAATTGATATTATAAAATAACTTATTTTAGTCAAATAAAGATATATTAAATAAATTATATATTATATTAAAAGTCGGTTTATTATGATCCCTAAGGATTTACAAAGCACTTTTTTTCTAATAGGAGCGTTCCCGAATGTTCACAACTTCTTTTAATTTTACATTATATATTATATTTAGGAAAAAGGAAAAAAGAAAATGTCATATACAGAAATACTCTTATCTTGAATACTTTCATTTACATTGAACATTTTTCTGTACAACGAAAAATAATTTAACTAATAACTTTCGTTTGTTCATATTTTTTTGTAAACATCAACAAAGACAAAAAGTTAAATATCTCTAATAGGATATCAAACTTGACTTAAATCGTTACCAGTTTAAGTCGTTCAAATGTGCTTTAAAATCTAATTATATTTTGGCAATTTTTAAGTAAAAAAAATAGCTATTTTTTGAACTGAATCTTCAGGTTGTTATAGAAGTTTGAATTTTGCATCGAGCATTATCGTCGAAAAAATCAAGAAATATTTTTAGATTCTAAAAATTTTCAATGTTTATTTTAATAATATATATTTTCTTATAATTTTTTTATATTATTAAATAATAAAAAAAATGCTTTTGAATTTTGAAAATTTCGGACTCTTTAAATCTTAATTTTCACAATATTCCGAAAATCACTTCTGGTATCCTTTTTACAAAAATTATACACTTTCTTTTTTTTTTTTCTCTCTTTCTCTCTCTCTTCCTCTTCTTATGCGAAACATGGCCGAAGTAGGAATAACGAATGACGAAGGCAGTATCGTCCTTCACATATTTTTTTTATTTTACTTTTATCATTTCGAATGCAGAAGGAAATTTCGACGATGGTTAGCGATCGATTAACCGTAATTACCGTATGGTCGTTTTGAATCGCAATACAGTTTTCAACAAGAGAGGGAGAAGGAGATTTGATTTGATAAAAATTAACGGATTACTACAGACTAATTATCGCTGCAACTTAGATCCTAAGTGGTGCAACTACAACTCTGTGTTTGTGCGCACACACAAGAGGATGCATATGTGTGTGTGCACGTGTGATGTGCCGACATGTTAAGCACATTCATAATTATATATATAAATATAATATACATATAATTATATAATGATATATTAATAATAATAGTGCTTTATACTAGGCTTGAGAAACCATTTTGTACTCATTGTAATATTACTGCGCTAACCGAAACAAAAATTCACATGAGACATGTAGTCTAATGGAATATGATAATGTGACGCTTCTGTGATGACTTTTTAATTATTTGTCGAAATGTGTAGCGTTTTTGAATGCGGGCGAGAGAGCGACAAACGTTAACAAAAGGAGAAAAACAAGAGTGAAAGAGAGAGTGTATGCGTGTGTGGAAAATAGAAAAGAAAGGAAGATATTTTGTTTCTTTAAGTTAGCAGGGTTGTGAACAAACAGGAATATTTATTTGCAAAATTGAAGTATATATGGCAATGTAATTGTTGACAATTGGACTCAATTTTAATTCACAAAGTAGCGCCTGTTACTAATCGTTTACATGCTTGCGGAAAAAAGTAAAGTAAATTCTAAAGAGGCAAGAGAAGAGGTAGGATATTTTCTGATATCGATAGGTGAGCTTTAAAATTTAAACAATTTTTAGATAATTCAGGAATGTTTGGAAATTAATAGGAATGTAAACGATTCAATTTAGCATACAAAAACGGTTCTATTCTTGTACAAGGAACTCAGCATTAATAGCAGCCAGAGAGGAAGAAAAGAATTTGAGAAGAGAGAGATTTGAGAAGTCCGCTAATATGATAATGAACTGCTGTGTAAAGAAGTTTTCTTAAAAAATCTATAGTATCTTTACACACAGTACTTTTTAAAAGAAAAAAGAGAATGTAAAGAAGAAAACTTGAAGAACTCGAATCTTGGGCATAGTACTGCTGCACCTCTAAAAGTTAGAACCCATAATAATTGTATGTATTTTGTCATGATATTTTTATATTTTATTTATTTTATCAATTTGCAACTTGTAATCCAGATCAATAGTTCCCAAGTTTGAATAATGTCTTTTCAGTGTAATTAATCTTCTTTCATATGTCAAGTATGACATTATCAGGAATGATAAAAGAAATATTTCCATTATCTTGTGATTTTTTTCAAGATAATTTCATAAATTCACAATTTTACAAATTATTGGAATCTGGGAATCGAAGATTTTTGGGGCCCAAGATTCTGAGATGGAAATTATTTATATTTATCATATTCTGAAATAATCAAATTAATTTAACATTTTTTACTTACCTTTTTATATTTATTTATCATATTACTTTTATTATTTTAATAATTTATGTGCAAAAACCTTCATTTTTTGCGATTAATTAAGTAAGAAAGATCTCGTCTCTTATTTTAAACTTGGGAACATTTCATCGTTCATATTTTTATATTGTCAGCGCATACATGATTCTGATTTTTTGTGTATTTCACATTTTGAAATTTTATATAAACTCAAATCTTAAATTAAGCTTAAAAAAAGTTAAATAGATGTTTGTGATTTTTAGAGAAAATTGACTTGAGAAGATTTCTTGAAACATTTCTTAAATTTAAATTTAAAAATTATATCCTACCATATTTTGCCTGAAAATGAAATAAGAAAAAAAATTCTTCTTTATTAAATGTAAATTAATGATTTCCATGTTTTATTTTTTTCAGTAAAAATTTATATTAATTTAACAATTAGAATATACATATTATATATAGTAAAATGATATGATGTAATCCTTGAGAATGACTATACTTGTTCTACACGCAATGAAATGAATGAATATCTTCACTATAGCGTAATTTATACAATTAATATAATGTTTAAATAATTTACACAATTCGTTTAACATTTCATTAGGTTTAACTCCGAGGCTACGTAAGGGATCTTCACAAAACGCCTAATTGCACAAATACTAATTAAACGTAGAAGTTGTGACAAAGGAAAGAAAAGGAAAGAAAAGATCATACGAGAGTCATACGAGAGAAACATTTCTGGAGAGTTTTCAAGAGAATTGGAGAGCTCTTTGTCTTGCTGTGTCGCAATAAGTGATGGGTAACGTCTATTTTTGCATCATTGTTATAATCTTTTGGAAATTGTATTCTCGTGTAATGATTATGGGCGCTACAAAACGTATGTACATTAATATCTTTCTCTCGATTTGAATCATTAATATATACCGAATGACTTGCATTAAAGCGGGTAATTAGGAATTTATTCCCAATTGAGTTTGGATGTTCTATTATATGAATGAAATATCGTATCTTTTCCAAAAAACGCCCTGTATAAATATATATAAATATGTTTCTGCGCGATGAACGCATACGGTGGACCAAGTCGCTATTCCGGAAATAAATTTAACTAAAGAGAAGCTTTAATTTTTTTATAAAAAAATAAATCAAATTATAAGTTAAACAAGTAAAAGTTTTTTAACAATCTCGATTATTGTGATATAAATTTTTAAAGATATACATAATTTATTATATCAATAATGATTTTTTTATATATATTATAAATTATGTATTATATATTGAAAAAATTATACACTACATTACATAATCATATCATTATAAATTAGTATTTTTCGGAGCAATGACTTTCGGTCCATTCTTTTATATAGTGTGCGCGTTTCTGTGGGCTTTGATATCGTCTCTCATGATAAGGAATGCGCGAAAAAAGTTAATTAAACAAGATATATAAATATATATAATATAAATATATAAATGCGAGCGGAGATAAGATATATAATGGTGTCGCGATATATTAATCGCGTCTTGCATTGGCTGCCTTCAATATATACTTCTTTCAATTTCTGTTGAGGTAATGTGTGTCAAACGAGAACCTGATTGTGTGTGAAGTAAAAGGCCATACCTACACGCATCAGGAACGTCTTTGTTATTCTATATACATATATCATTGTCTCTGAAATTACATTTTCCTCTTCCTCAGAAATTTACTAATTGCAATATTCCTATCCTAACAACTGCAACTAATTACTCATAAGAGAATACTTATTTCATTTTTTATATATATATAATTAAATAATTTTATCATAGTAATTATATATACATTAAATATTGTTTTCAATTAGAATATTACAATTCTCTTTCTTTTTTTTTCAAAAATAATATATTAAATTTTTATTAAATTAAATAATTGAGAAAAACAAATTAGTTGTGATATTCTAATATCGCTATATCTATTTAAAAATTATTTCTTTTATTTAACTGAAGAAATACAAAGAATTTAATTGATTGAATAATAAATTGTATTATTTTTTAATGAAATAATTTGATGTTGCTATAAAGAATAACATCGAACGAGATGCTTTATATTTCAGTAACAGTTTGTTTCTTTTAGACAAACAAGTTATGATATCGAATTAATTAATTATAATATCGCTATTCATTAAAAAAAATTTTTTTTATTTAACTGAAGGAATACTAAGAGTTTTAATTGATTGAATAATAAACTGTATTGTTTTTTAATGCAATACTTCGAATATCGAATTAATTAATTCTAATATTGCTATCCATATTTAAAAATTTTTTTTATCTAATCGAAGGAATACAGAGTTTAATTGATTGAATAATACATTGCATTGTTTTTTAAATGAAATAATTAGAAGTTGCTATAAAGAATAACGTGAAACGAGATGCTTTACATTTCAGTAACAGTTTGTTTCTTTTAGACAAACAAGTTATGATATCGAATTAATTAATTATAATTTATAATATATTGCTATCCATTTAAAAAAAGTTTTTATCTAACTGAAGGAATACAAAGAGTTTTAATTGATTGAATAATAAATTGTATTGGTTTTTATTGAAATAATTCGTATATCGCTATCCATATTTAAAAATTAATTTTTTTTATCTAACTGAATACAGAGTTTAATTGATCGAATAATAAATTGCATTGTTTTTTTTTAATGAAATAATAAGAAGTTGCTATAAAGAATAACGTGAAACGAGGTGCTTTACATTTCAGTAACAGTTTGTTTCTTTTAGAGATCGGGCGATTCTATCTAGAACACGGGCCTGAGGTGGATGCGCGCGCATCGCCGACCACGTGACGTCGTGCGCGCAACAAATAACATGGCCGCCAGCCAAAGGCCGAGCCGAGCCGAGTCGCTGCGAAGCGACCTCAGGGTCCCAGTCGAACGGCGGAAAGCAAATATGGCTGCCGCGCGGGTAGATTATGATGCGTAGCGGACGCGCTGCCGGCGGAAGTATTGCGTGCGGGTGCGTGTACGATGTTGCTGAAGGATCAGATTGCGACAGCAAAGAAGTACCGCAGGCATCATGGGAAAAACGGTGCCAGATCCGCGGCCGGTAAGTCCAATGCAATCCCTCGCTTCGTGTATGAGAGAGAAACTCGCGAGAGATCGCCGCGCATTCTCTCCCTCCTCGGCTTTCCGCTTCGTCCTTCGTCGTCCCTTCCTCCTTCGTCTCTCGCGATATCGACCACGTATATAAGCGCGAACCAGCCGGAGTCGCGATAAATTAGGAATCTGTCGCTGCGAGCCGCGAGATTTGAATGTTTGAGGATTACATGGAAGTAATATGCGAGATATGTAACTCGATGATCCGCAAACATATGACGTCACTCGAACGCCTGTCAAACATTTTTGTATCGTTATATTCGTGAAAATGCAAGAGCGAGTGAGAAACAACGCATTGAGCTTCCGTGCTCCGATATTGGATCGAATTTATTGTTGTAATTGCAAGTTTTATGTCACGCTACATGTACATATGTAATATGTCACGTGACGGCGGCGAGAATCATTTTCCAATTTAAAGCCGATTATGTTTCAACTTTTTGATCAGTTTTAGCATATCTTATCATTTCTTTTTTTACTTTTAAAATTTTTTTTTATTATTTGAGAAAAGAGACAAAAATATGCTATCTGTAAAACTTAGCAAAAAGTTGAAAAAGTCGGCCGTTACTCTTGTAACTTCCTGTTCGGGTAGTCTGATAATATAGTAATGCTCCGATATAATGCAATACGATGCAACGCAGTATTTTCCTTAATCATGCTCCGGAATAATAAATGCAATACGACAAATCGCATTTATTATTCCGGAGCATGATTAAAGAAAATGTCGCGAATCGAGTGCAACGCACTTTCATCGATATGGAATAAATTTCCAAGTAACTGTTGATTATTAATCGATCACGAATCAATTTCATCGAAATTTGCATTTGTATTTTATATACAGGGTGTCCCAACCTTACCATCCGTTTATGGGAGACTTCTAAAGTTATTTGGAGACGATTTTTTCTCAGCGAAAATGTTGAGGAAGGTCATCATTTTTTAAATGTTTCCAATTTTTCATGTATCTTTGTAACTAAGCCTTAAATTAAAATTCTATTAAAGTAAACTTCACCTGAAGTTAACTATAAAAGTGTAGTTTTGATAATAATTTATTTTCACAAGGCTTAGTTTACAAAAAAGCTTTTATTTTCGGTCGTTTATAACTTGAAGATTATTGATGTCTGGACATTTTCGCTGAAGAAAAATCGTCTTCAAATCATCTCAGGAATCTCTCATTAATGTTGTGGTACAGTAAGTCTAGGACACCATATATATTTCTAATTAAAAAAAAAATAAAGGAAATATGACATGTAAGAAGCGCGAGACGTTATTATATACAATACGTTCCGAGCTTTTTCACACGCTGTTGTAAGCAGCGATGCAATCGCCGGATGCGTTGACAAGAATACGTTAAAAATATCTTCGGAAACATTTCGGCAAAGCTCGCGGCCCAAACGAGCGTCATTCGAAGATGTGTCGCCGTGAAAATGCATTCCTGGCATGCCGCGATAAGAATAGAGCGATGGTGGGAAGGAAAGGACGATTCGCGATGCGATAACGAAGGGGGAGAATACGTAGGATGATCACGTGTGCATTACAAATTGTAGTTACATTTTCCCGCATGTTACAAAATCATTTTTTACAACTATAAGAGTCAAAAGAATTTTGAACGTCCAAGTATTTGGAAAGAAAAAGGAGATGTATGCAATATTTATTGAATGTTAATATAGATAAAATATAAAGGAAATATATAGGGTGTCCCATCAAAAGTGGCCACCCCCTTTTATCTTTGAAACTAAAAGAGATAGACCATAAAAATTATATATGAAATTAAATGGCTCAAACTGAACTTTTTTGTGAGCACAGTGGTTGCTTACAAAAACTATCTATGTTTGAGCCATTTAATTTCATATATAATTTTTATGGTCTATCTCTTTTAGTTTCAAAGATAAAAGGGGTGGCCACTTTTGATGGGACACCCTGTATATCAAATATTACCATATATGCTAAAATATTGTTTAAGAAATGCGCAGTATAAATACAAATATCTTAATAAAAAGTTAGCTTACTTGCGGCATTAGCTGTGACCACGTGGTTTCTCCTCAGAACCACGTGATCGTATGACATCTATATATTCGAGCTGTTGTATGCACCAAATAAATTTGCGTATCACTATCGATGAATACTTGAGCATCGAATAAATAATTCCAAGTGCTTGAATTAAGCTTTTGCTTGTTATCTCTAAGCGATGAAATCGACATCGCCGTAAATGTTAACGAGTGCCACTTAATGAGCGATCGTAAACCGCATCGAATTATTTAAACTTGGAATTATATAGAGTCAACATTAATTTTGATTTCCTTTAATTTATCTATTTTCTCGCAGAAAATTGCACTCAAACATCTATTTATAAAATGAAGAAAAATTAACATATAATCTTTCAAATCTGCCGTTTAAAATTTATCATGATCGTATATGTAACTAGTATTATACAGAATTGATAAATCTTAAATGATAGATTTAATAGCTAATGCATATGTTGAATAATTAAATAACTCGACTATACAATTTTATCCAGTACGATATAAAAAAAGGAAATTAAGACTTTTTTGATACTTTTCGCTTGTTCTTCGACTTTTTTGCAAGATTAGATTAGAGATGGGAGGGTTTCAAAACCTTCAAGGAACTGTTTATACTTGATGCGCGCAAAGAAGCTAATCGAATGGCGAGAGAAACTTTTTGTAGAACAACTGTTGTGAATACCGGCGCGTTAAACGTCTCCAAGGCCTTTGCAATGGAGACTCAATCACCGTCAATCTACACAGTCTTAGCAATTTGCTTCCTTGAACGATCTCGAGCGGCATCTGCGAGTCGCAAAGCATCGCAGAAGCTGAATAAGGATTTAGTTATTCGTGAGCACTTTCGCTACTTGATTCTAGAAGAAGAAACTCAACACTTCTTTTTTTAGATATACTGAATTTATTACATCATTCATATTGATTATACAGGTTTATTCGAGATTTGGAACCAATAATAATAAATTCTTAATTAATATTTATTTATAAAAGAAGCAAAATATAATTATAAAATACGTAAACAATTTATTATTAGAACATATAAGTGTCATATAATAAATAAAAGAATGGATTATTTTTTGTAACAGAAGGATATTCTCTTATATGCCATAAAAATAGAATATAATTAGATGAAATAGTATAATAAAATATATAGGATAGATAATTGGCTTTAGTAAAAGCGTCGTCATTAATAATAACATGCATTAAATTAATTTTCATGATTTATGAAAATCAATATTCTTAATCTGTAGAAGTCAAGAATGATATTTTGTTTAATATTTTTGGTTCGGTTAATTGATTTCTCGATTGGATCATCGTCTTCGAAAACAACCTTTCACTTGGAACTGATATGCTTACGATTGAGAAGTATTTTTGCGCTATTGTGTACAATGAGGGATATTGTGTCTTCATACTCTCCCATTTCTCTAAGGGATCGTCGTTCTTCGAGGAAACTTTGCTAGTTAGGTACGAAGATAACTCGTCTTCGTGTTTAAGCGCCAAAACTTCATGATGAGTCCAAAGATTGTATTTGATTTCTTTCTGTTCAGTATTAGATTCATGAGACAAACGGGATAATTTGCGTATCATTTCATACAATTTATATATAGCATTGTTTTCAGCCTTTTTATTCTGAAAATGTAAGTTCTTAAAGCGGGGATCCAGTATGGTAGCAATAGCTATTGAATCCGTAAATTCGATATGCTCGAAGCTTCTTTGTAAATCTGTCAGAATGCTTTCTTTCAACTTCTTCGACAGCTCTGTCTTTAGTTCCATGTTTAAGTATTCATTTATGGCGCAATTAATAAGTGGCATTACCTTCGATATTATGAGATAATTTTCAGTCAAACATTCTCGCGCTATGAATGCCAGAGGTTTCAATAAATCAACGAAATCCTTCAATACGATAACTTCAGCTTCGGTCGGCATCTCGGGAGTTAAACCTTCTCTGAATAAGACATTATTGATATCGTTCCATAATTCGACAAATCCTTCCAACATGTAAAACATGCTGTCCCATTTATTGTTGACATCAAGAACTAGATTCTTTAATTTAGTTTTAGATATACCAGAGTCAACTTGACAGCAATGCAATTTGTTATCATTGCTATTTTTTATAAACTTTACAACCAATCTCGCTTTGTTAATAATATTACTGAGACTTTCGTAGTTTTTCACAAAGTTTTCTGCCACTAAATTGATAGTGTGAGCGAAACAGATTATATGCTTGTCCTGATGAAAAATCTTTTTAGCAGCCTTGACTATATTAGATTCGTCATTAGTCACAACTGCTGCAACTTTATCAATATCAATGCACCAATTTAGCAGAATATTCTCAAGAGCAAGTACAATGCAATTGACAGAGTGTTGTTCAGATAATTTGATCATCTCAATATTTTTCGATTTCAATTTTCTTGTTTCACTTGCTATGAAATGCACTGTGACACTTAAGAAGCTTTCAAATGATGCTACTTCAGACCAGGAATCTATACTGATAGTGACATGTAAAGTTTCATTCAGTGTTTTTTTGAAGATCTTACTTTCCTTATCATATTTCTCATCTAATTTTCTTATAATTGCATCTTCATCAGGAATTTTGTAATGAGGCATCAGTTCTTTTATCAAATGTTTAAATTTTTCGCATTGAATAATATTATATGATTGATAATGGATGCACATGAAGTAAAGAATAGTATCCGTTATCTTGGCATAGTGATCATCATCTGAAAGAAAGAAATTATGTAAAAATCATAAAAAAGAGAGATTAAACATTTGTATTTTTATTCTGAAATATTTAGATATCATTTAATATATATTTATCATATTTTTATTATGCTATATATCATATTTATTTATTAATTATTGAATTTTCAATATAAGAATATATCTTACTAGAACTAGATTTCCTCTCAAGAATTGCAAGTAGTCTATCCATTTTTACAAAAGGTTCATCCTGACACATAAAAAAATTAAATTTAAACGTATTCGCAAAGCATCAAAGATAATAAATCAACAAAAAAATGTATGTACTTTGACTTATAATTTTTTCTTGGAACATTTCTTCGGTTTTTTAGAAATGTATCAGCATCAGCATGGGGAGTATTAGGATTACCACCTGTTGACCAATGGCTGTAACAAAAGATTTAATCTTGTTAAACATACACATACATATATATGTGTGTATGAAACATTAGTATTTATAAAAATCAATAAAAAAAGAAACATCAACAAACCTTTTCTCTGTCTTTGCCTCTTTTTTGGGTCTTTTGACCTTGTATGTACTGTTGTCTTCAGAAGCTCTATGGGATCTATAATGTCGCGTCATGGTGGCTATTAACGTAATTGGTTTATTATATAACACGTTTTGAAACTGTATGTGCTTATGGCACAAATTGCAGGAGACAGTTTTTTCGTCCACCTTCTTGAAGTGCTTCCACATAATATGTGACATTTTAGGACTTAAAGGCAAAGAATGTCTCTTTATATGTGACATTTACAGGGCAAAGGCACAGAAAGTCTTTTTTTTTATGAAGATATCGATATGAATTGTTTCTTCCGTTATATCGTCCTATCGCTTAAACAATATCCACACGTAGATAGTACTGTTCTCGAAAGGGTAGGTGATATGGCTCCAATATTATGAACAAAGGACCGGTATGGATGATTTCATCGACTGCGTAATGCGCAGTGCGCAGACATATATCGATATCCTTAGTTTATCGATATATATCGATATATTTCGTTTAATGCCGCAAAAACGATATATATATTATTATGTATATCAATACAAAATTGAAGACAGGAATTATATCACAGAAACATCAATAAATCGAAATGATTTAAATATATGATTCTGTATATCAATATGTAAAATTAATATTTTTCTAATGTAATAATTGTTTGCCCCAGAGATATCAATATCTAATCAATATGGAATAACTGTTATTTATTGTAATAATATTTATAAATATTAAAAAAAAATTGCAATTATATATTTAATTGTAATATTTAATGTTGGAAGAAACGTAGTCTGGTACTATGTAACAGTTTAATAATGAGAATTTCTAATAGGATACCTACTTTCTACTAAATATCATACGGATATGTTGTAATATTGAATAACGAAGTGCCAAAAGAGGATGATGTAGATAGAGGAATATCGATCCTTTACTTTCTATTTGATACTCACCTTTCACATATCAATATATAAAATGCTCGAAGACAGGAATGTCTGAAAGTTTAAAATATCCAAGTTCTAAAATTATCGATATTGCATCAAAATGACTTTTATATTATTTTAATATTAAATAGATTGGATTTTTGGAAGATATACTTTTTTAGATTTTTTTATATTGGAGAGAGAGAGAAAAAAGGAGAGATTTTAAATTCTTTATGATATGTATGCATTTGTTTATTGTTCTCTACCAAGATAATTAATTATTATCTTAAAAAAATAATGTAAAAAAATATTTTTTGATATACATGCAAATTTTTAGTTGCACGTTATTTTGTAAAAAAGAAACGTCAACAAAAACATATATAATGACACGAAATTATATTGAAATTAATAATAAAAAAGGGGGAAAGAGTTTGGTATATATATACGGTTTTGCGTCTCTAGTTTCATGTTTTGCCGAGTCTACATATCTGTAGATCCGACCAAGACAACAGTCATCGCGATTCGGCGTCACGTATGCGTGAGCCGAACTTGATGGATTTACATAACATCATTTTTTATTCAACAGGCATACATTCGACCGGCGGATGCTTAATTGGTTGAGAGATCGAGGCTAAGAAATGTTTGAGCTTGACTGTTTTTGAGGCCAGCGAGGTAACAAACCTGATTTACAATTCAGCGGTGCTCAGCTGACCGAGCAGCTGGATAAACGGATTCATCAGCGAGTGATTTGAGGAATGTACGGCGCAGCGAACGATATCAAGGTACGCTACACGTACCGCACGTGTTCGCGAAATCTGATAGTTGATATAGTCTTCGAGCGCGACACTCATCAGTGACGCTCAGATAAATATTTTTAGAGATTTTAGGGCTTCTGGGTCCTCGCCGCGTGTTAGATTGTGACATCAGAAGCGAGAAAGCACGCTGCAAATTCTTAGATGCCATTTTTTAATGCAAAGATATAGTTCGATAAAATGCTATATCGGATGGTCAGCTTTAGGAGACTTTTAAAATATCTTGAAAACTATTCTTCTCTTCTTTAACAGTCAATTAACAATCGTAAAATGGTATCAGACTTTGTCATGCGGAATGACTGCGCATATGCAAAGATTAGACGGACTGGGCCTCATATTATAGTCGTTTTACAACTTTTGATTGATTATAAATGAAAAAAGATCATTTTCGAGGTATTTTAAGAGTGTACTAAAACCATCTAAAGTGCTGTTTTATAGAAATATTTTGTCTATTTTGAAATAACATTTAAGAATTTTTAGCGTGTACTTTCTCGTCTCTAACGTCACAATTCCAGGAGCCTTAAATCTTCTAAAGATTCTCAAAAATCTTCAGAGCTTCTTAGAGCGCTTCGTTCCTAAAAGGATTCTAAGAAGACTCAATGATCTTCATAAATTTGTAAAAGTACGCTTGGATATTCCTTGATTTTCAAACGTCTTCCAAATTTTTCAAGAAAAAAGTTTGTCTTTAATTTAATTTCTCTAGAGAATCTGTCTCTTAACGATTCTGAAAAGATTCTTGAAACTTTTCAGTGATAATTCAAACATATTATTCTGAGATTGTGTAAAGAGCATAAGGAAGGTTCTGACTTCGTGTTCACGTTGTTTGTGTCACGTGCGTTATCAGTCTTTCTATGAAAACCACAATGATAGCAGGCCGTCCACCTAAAGATAAGGTTCCAAGAGTCCACAAAAACGCGTCTCAATTCAGTATTCATCTCGTTCTCATGGCCGTAACGAAATAAAAACCTCGCCGTCCTTCCCTCCTCTTCGAATGTTTTCTTCGCCTAATCGAATCGCACGCAGACGCGTAGTTTCGACGTAATTTATTCCGATCAATTTTTATATATTACAGTGGACATACATTGTTGTGGCGCATAACTAAATACGATATTATTTCTTCAAATTAAGTTGATTATATAATGAACTTTATCTAATACGAAAAAAGATTCTACAATTTTTAAACGCTAGTTTTATGGGATCTTTGTCATTTTTTGAGGAATTAATTTATATATAGAGAAAAAGAGAAAAACAAATAAATTAATTGAATTTTAATAATATATATACAATTTATACATTGATTATAGTTGAATAATTATATAATCAATGATGACACACATACACAATGATCAGATTACTCATTGTCAGATAAATACTCAATTATGACGAAACAAAATTTTATCGAAATGTAAAATTAATTTCTAAATTTATTCATTACAAGGTGTCAAAAAAGATAAAATATTGTAAGAGGATTTAATTATGTCTCAAGATAAGTTAAAAAAGTATTAATAAACATGAGTCTGCTAATGAGCCATATTATGCAATATCTAATATAAGTTAACTTATATATAATTTAATTTACTTACGTTCACATGAATATATAAAATAATAAAAAATAAAAAAAATTTCGATTTTTATTAAGACTTTTCGACTTGTTTTTGGACATATTAAATCTCCTTAAAATATTTTACCTTTTTTCCAACACTCTGTAATATAGTTAAAATTTATAAATAATACATATACATATATATATTTTTTTTCTTAAATAATCCAATTAATATAAAACGGTTTTCATCAAAATTCTATGTCGGTCTATAGTCTATATGAAGGCACCAACGCGTATGTACGTGTATGTCGACTATATCTCATAGTGTAAGCACCAAATAACAGTTAAGCCGTAAAAGCGCGACGATAAATAAGCGAGAGACGGGTCATCGTCCAGTGGTAGACGAGATTCATGTTCAACGAGCCGTATTAGAATCGTCGTTTATGCGCGCCCGCGCACGCGGACATTGTACCGACGTGATATTACTAAAGTATCAATTCTATTTACTGTCAAAATGTTTGTGGTATCTGATATACTTGTCCCTATAATCTTGAACAATTTAATGTAATATTTGTATTGGATGAGATTAAGTTTCTTTATGATAATTTCTATTTCTTCATCATATTTTGATGCTGTCAGATATATATTTATTATCGAAAACAAGATATGGTTGCCATAGGAAGTCTCGTTTGAGCATCTCTTTGATTGAGATACAATTGTATATACAAATTGTACTCGGTGTATGACGTGACAAATATCCGAGAAGCGTTCATTCGCACTCATTCAGTTTTCGCAAAAATTTGATCGTCCTCGTCGTCATAGGATTTTCATATGACCCATCATTATGAGACGACCGGTAATTGTCTAGCGTGACTAATAGGACGAGCGAGTTTACAGACGTTTACTGCGCTATCAGTAAACGTGTAGGAGTTTCTTTTTTATGTGGGTGTGGGTATACATTTATAGTTACATATATATGTGTGTGTGTATGTATATGTAATGAGTAATTGAACGGTAGACGCGTATAAAAAAAGAGAGAGAGAGAGAGAGAGGAGAAAAAGAATGAGAAGGACGAGGAAAGTAAGCAACAAACATGTCGTTATGTGCGATCGTCTCGTGCACATTGGACTTTATTGCATTCGTTGACTTACTTCTGTGCAAGTGCGATGAAAATGTATAGGACGTAGGAGGGATCAGCCCAAATTGTATGTAAAATGGATTTCGGTTAAATCAGTTGATTTTTTTCATATGTTGCAGTTTATGACCTGCTGAACAAAAGATGTAATAGCCTCAAGCTAAATAATGGATATTTACCGATTTACAGCCAGTTAAACATGAAAAATCGGACTTTGTGAGCTGTTTGACTGGCTGTAACTCAATAATTGTCCATTATTTAGCTTTGAGGCTATTATAAGCCTTATCATAAGTTACAATATATGAAAAGCTGATTCGATCAAAATTCATAAGATTAGTGCGAGATATTTTCTTATAGAGAAGTGATTGTGAGAGATTTGGTTGAAAAGCAATTATATAACTTGTTTTTAGAGTTTGCGTAGATTTAAATATGTAATGGAATAAAAAATACATATCTTATACAACACAAACTTTGCGAGTGAAAGGATTTGGTAGATATATAGCAGATGTACAATAATAGAAAATGTCGATATATATTATAACTAAAAGTTTATAATCTAACGTTATCATCTGCAATTTTTAATCGAATTTGTTATCGCGTTATTATCTGCAATTTTTTATCCAACGCGGGCAACACCGAGTTACACTAAGTCATGGCAACAGTTTGATTAATCCTGACCTAACATAATCCTACGTAAAGATTGATTTTGTGCTGTGTTTCAATGAAGCTGGCAGTTTAATATAATTCTAATCCAATCAACAAGGTAATTTAATGAATATCTGTCAACATATACCAAATTTACAAAAATTTAATAACAGCAGTGAACTTTATACATTTAATTAACGCGTCAATTCTGATGAAACTTGATGTTATTTGACGATTATGTCTTTCTCTCTCTTTCTGCGAATGGTAAATGATCTATCAAACTCAAAGTAAGAGTCTAGATGCATTATTTCGGCTCGAAGGAAAACTTTGATTTTCCGGACACTCTGTAGATGCTAATGAAACTGGAAGATGATAATGAAACGCTGGC